AAAGATAAAAACACATAAAAATATGGGATTAAGCCGACGAGAGAATGAGATAGAATAAATTACACTGGAAGTGAAAAATTATACTTAATAATGGTTAAAAAAATATATTACGTTATTACGTAACATATATTATGCTAAATAAAATGTAAAATTTTTAAACTTGGTAAAAAAAACTAAACTTATTACTTTTAAAAATGAATATTTATTACTGTAGGATGAATGTGCATAAATAAAATAAAAGCTATTATAAATAATTGTTGCCATGGTAACCGGTTTTATTGTGTGACAAATATATAAAGTTATATTCTTTCCGTATATGATATTCTATAAATATATGATTGTAATATGCTTATATTCCTTATTTAATTATTGATTTGTTTATAAAAAAATCTTTAAAAAAAAGAAAAGAAAAGAAGAAGAGAAGAAAGAGAGAGAAACACGCACCTGTATTTTTTGTATAAAAACTAAGCAATTATTGCACCGTTTTAAGGAAGAATTTTATTCTTGAACATATTGGACCTCCATGAAGTAAAACTTATTTATCAAAAAAAATATTAAGATCTTATCATAAGATGTGAATATAGAGTCACAAACAGATACAAGAAATGTACACCCGAATTACAGATTATTTTAAAATACATTATAGATTAAATTGATTATCTTCCATCTTAGTGACTTTTACTAGACTTTTCTAAACTGGAAATTTCAAATATAACCTTAAAAAACACTTCAGTAGCAGCACTTCAAAGGCCTATAAGGTTCATTCGATATCTTTTATTCAATCGAATCCTAAATATTCGGTTTCCGCCTCAACCTTGTCTACTGTGGTATTACATTCACTTCGCGTATATTATATACATATATTTTAATATATAGTCCATAGAAGCATATTATATTCCGTAAGATCAGTTATTGATTAATTTGAATCTAATTAGGTTAATTAATTATCTATATATAGACAGAGAATGCCTTACGGTGAAGGAAAACATCGTGAGGACACCTGCATGTCTGAGAGAACCTAGCAAGTTTTCGAGAGACATGTGAAGTCCGCCAACCCGCACTTGGCCAGCGTGGTGGACTATGGCCTGATCCCCCTCGTATTGAAGGTAGGCCCGTGCCCAGCAGTGGGACGTTAAAAAGGGCTGAATACATACATATAGACAGGGAAAGACAAAATAGTTCCGTTTTTTCTCCTCTGTTTGTCAAACGATTTTTGAAGTGGAACTTCTTTAGAAGCGTGTGTTTTGAAACTTGATGAAACGTAAATGCGACACTAAAAAGAGAAAATACATAAATATATAGGATTAAGCCGGTGAGAGAATGAGATGGAATACATTGCCATGTTGGTGTTGCCATGGTAACCGTTGTTATTGTCTGACAAATACATAATATTATATTCTTTCCGTATATGATATTCTATTAATATATGATTGTAATATGTCCAATATGTTTTATTCAATTATTGATTTGTTTTAATTTAATTTAGAAATTTTACTTCACCGCGCGTAAAGGTTAAGCGCACCCATTTTTTTCTTGTTTATAGCTATTGACGAGCTATAGTGATATCAATAAAAAATAATGATTATGCTCGAATTTCGACCACTGGGCGAACATTAGTATAATAAAAAAACTCGGATATAAATCATTACTTCTTAAAACTACTGAAGTTCAGGTCAGATGATAGTATATGTATCTAATAAATGGTTAAAATGTATTGATATTTTAGAATTGGGATATAGGGGTATATAAAGGGTGGTAAACATGAAAAAATCGGAACAAACAGTACCGGATGCAACCTTAGCGCCGCCCCTGGGCATAGTAAGTAATGCCGTCCTATTATAGAAATTTGGCTTAATATGAGTAAAGTTTTGATAAAGTTGATTTTTTTTGTTATATTTTTTTTTGTTTTTCGAAAAATGTACTAGTATTTTTTTAATTAATCATTTTTTGGAAAATAAAGAAAATATTTTCGGTAACACGAAGAAAAATTTTTTGTCCACCCTCCGGATTTTGCCGCCAAAAAAATTTGTCGCCCTGAGCTCTAGCCCCGAATGCCCCTAGTGCAAATCCAGCGCTGGGAACGTACCTCACCTGTGCGATTGAATATTGTTATACGAGTATTGCTTATGAAAAATAATGAGAAACATATATTTGTAAAACTCCATTCTTATAAAGTTTACGCCAATTTCAACTGTGCGAGTATAAAGTAGATAGTAACACGTAGTCTAAGATATATATATATTACAATTTACTTCAATCGTTTTAAACTTGGTTCTAATGAACACCATAAGTGCCACATAACAGATATTATTACGTACATTAATGTTTTAGTTAAGACGAAGCATGATACTAAGAACGCCTATCATCTTACATGTCTTGTTCTTTCATTGGAAGAAGAAGAATAAAGGTAGATTCATCACATGCGAGAATCGAATCTATGATCACGTTACTATTACAAATGCTGTTTGTATGTTTGTATATTTGTTACTCCTTCAGGTTGACAGCTTTTACACAGACTTTAACCTAAAATAACACATAGGTTACATATAGTTAGTATTAATAAATATTACCAAAACGTCTGTATTTAATTCTATAATATTTTAGGCAGCTTTTACATAAGTTAGTAAATTTTGTATATAAATCCACGAGAAAACCCGAAAAAGACAACTAGTTCAATATGACCAACAACATTTACAGCATCGTTATATTAATTACCTTAACAAAAGTAGTCCTTCATTTGATATTGTGAGGCGCGATTCAATTTAGACGTCGATTGTACATTATTTAGGTCAAATGCGTCTACTGCGTACGTTTCAAGCGATATTATATCATCACGCCTTGATATATTAAAAACGGAGAATAGAGTCAAATGTCGCTTTTTTCTCCATTGGAGAATAAAATATAATAAAACTCATATAGCATTTAACAGTGTATATGAAGTAAATTTATAAGGATTATTTGTTATGTCCGCGATTTGTTAGTTTTTTTTGTTTTTGTATCGTTCCATAATTCCTGTGATGTTAGATAGCTATTAATTTTCCTCAATAAATGTACTATTAAATTAATTAAATTTTTCGAATGTGGAAATGACTGAAAATAGCTCATTCAAAAAACAATAATTAAATAAAAAACAAACAAATATAGGGCTAACTATCAAATTCATATTTTTCATTTTCTTTCTAATATCATATGTTCATTTTTAGTATTTTTATTATTTACTTAGCTAGTAAAATGCGTATTAGTAAAAAATATATATTCCACCAAAAACATTTTCATGTAAAATGTTGCCAAGACCAGACCATATGGCTCGCACTGTCAAAACGTTATCAGATTTCATATAGAGCCAAGCTTCTAACTCTACAAGACCTAACTTCACAACCTCTACACCTTATTCAAAATATGTGATTCTACAGATGGAAAAACATATTTAAAAACAATTCTTTTTAAATAAAACTATCTTTTCGAATTATTTCGCGGATTTATTTTGATTTTTGGTTCCCGACGTTTCGAATGCTTTACAGCATCCATGGTCACGGGAGAGACTGAGGTGTTACATGTCTTGAAGGTATAGTTGTTACAGACAGCCTACCCACAATTAACAAAATGAAAATTGCACCAATTACATTACAATATTTTTTAACTTTAAACATTTTTATAACTTTAATTATAATTGAATTAATTATTACTCCAACCATCTATCTGCTAAAAAAACTTTGAAACAAATTGCAGTAAATAACCTACTACTACTTTATCTTCAACACAACATGTAGGTATTAAAGATTTTTTTTCAATGTCTTATTTATTATTTTATTTCAATACACTCTTTAAAGAGTTCGTAAACTTAATAATAAATGTGAAAGTTTGTGAGGGTGGATGATATATCTGTATGGATGTTTGTTACTTCTTCACGCAAAAACTACTAAATGGATTTTAATGAAACTTCACAATAAAATAATATCAGAATAACACATAGGCTACTTTTTATTCCAAAAAAATTTACGGTTTCCGAGGGATAGATTTGTTTTACTAGAGGCAAACCCGAGCGAGGGTGAGCTGCTTAATAATAAGTGACTATATAGGTACAGACGAAAATTGTGTAAAGAAAATGACATATGGTTTCACTTTTTCCATTTCTTATGTGTATATAAAATAAATAAATCGATATTGCATCATGGTTAAAACATAGTAGTTACAATCTTGAAACAATTATTTTTTTTTTAATTTCACTCAGTAACCAGTATATGAAATTGTCATTTCTATACTATTTTAAAACTTTATTGTTTGGTTTCATGTTTAGTTCTATGACACTCTATCTATATAATTCCTTAATCTAAGTGTATACATAAATACAATATAAATATAAATAAATAGTTGAATCATTAACACACAGCACCATCTAGTTCCATGGTAAGCTACGAGGCTTGTGTTATGGATACCAGATAGTTGACACACTACACATATATGAACTTTTTTTTAAATACATTCATACATATTATAATACACATAACTGGAGTACAAACATTCGTACTCATCACACAAATGAATGCCCCCAGCGGGACTCGAACCCAAGAACGATGGTACAGCAAGTACCCCACAAACCGAGCCAAACGTGTTCTCAAAACACAATTTCAAGGTCTAAGAGCCTTTTTCTTTATGAATTTATACTTATAAAGTATCTCCCTTATATTATCACACATAGTGATCGTAGCGACGCATTGGCAATGAACTAGAAATGTTCCGTGGAATGAAAATCAACGTTTTAAATTTAGTTAGCCTGATGATGCCATACCAAGACAACTCCTTACAAAAATGATCGGGCAAAAATAATATAGTGGTTTATGTTAATTTTTTTTATCATCGTGTATTTGTTTTTGTGTTTTGAACATTAAGGAGTGCTAAGATAGTTTTAGGTCCCGTTTTTTAATTAATTATATAAAATTTCAGCATTGATTGAATTAGATTTGTCATTGTTTTCGTTAAAGTCAACTGTAATTAAAAAAATGTGGGTAAAGCTGTACGTAATTTTCATTTTTGTCGTACATTTCGTATTAATAACATCGAGAGATGTAAATGAAAGTGAGAGAGCATCTCGTGCCGCGTTTATACAGAAGCTATTAAATAAACAAAAACATTTAGAAGGAAGAATTAAGCTCCTCGGAGGGTCCAATAAATTTGAAGGTAAGCTTTAATGATATATACATATTTTTAACACTGACTAACTGACTAAAACGCTAACTTTTACCTAATATTTTCACTTAGAAAATTAAATCGTGTTATGAATAAATTAAGTTAGTAAGTTTTATTTTATCCTACACAAAAATTTTGTACTTTTTATATGAAAAATTTATAGTCCTAACATTTATTTTAGTTAATTAAAAATGTTTTTAGTTTTCGAGAATTCGCTGTTTTAAAACTGCATTTTTAAATAATTTCCAAATACCTGATTAAATAATTACTTTAAATTACACTAAAAACCTCTAAAATATTTCAAAGAATAAACTAATTACGGTAATTTTAATATAATCAGAAAAAGTCTACGAAACATTTCAACTTAAATAATTATGTACTACTTATTTAATTCAGGTTCGGTGGTTCACAAAATGTTTACTCTTGGTGTTATATTTAAAGTACTTAAAACTAGCTCGTGCCAAATAATTTGCCATTTCAACAAAATTGATTTTAAAGCTTATTTGATTAATTAAAATTATTTAAAAAAATACACGTATGTTTCTGATATGATTTATTTGAGGTTCGTCTTAGTTAATAGTCTTAGTAATATAGCTTGTAAATGAGATTTTAGGAACATGGGTTATTATAGTGCAATAATATATATATTAAACAGATGACAATTGCGTGAGTTTGCAGATTCGATTTCTACATGGAGACATGTTACTTTAATAATAATATTCTTTTTATTTATTTAAGACAGTCCACTTGTTAGTTAAATTAAAAACGTACAACCAAGTTAGTAAAATTTATAGTGTAATAATATAATATGCCTACTAAACAAAAAAAATTCTTTGGCTTCCGATGAAACTTTGCAGTCTCTCGATACATCAGGAAAATGTGAACTGAGCCTGTGAGAATTTGAAAACAGAGAAATATTATAATAAAAATATATATTTTTCCCACATATATTATTATTATTATATAACAATCATTAAGCCCAAAGATCCATCTGTTTCCATATTAATTTTTTTTTAAATTATTTATTTATTTTTGATTAATTTATTATTTTATTTATTATAAATTCCATACAATATTTCATCCTTAATAAAAGTTATTAAGGGGTGAATTTTAAAAGGTTCTTAGTGCTCATCTTTGTGATAATAATATTTCATGCTTTCAGACCCTACAGTTTAGACTGTGATAATTATGGCCGATTTCACCAACGTCACCTAACAATAAGGGATCCCCTAAGCATGGTTAGGGGGCTGTTTTAGGAGACAGTTTCTATTTCACCGACAGTTAAGGGTCACCTAAATATTAAAAGGCCCCCTAAATTTAGGTGCTCGTAATATGGGCTTAAAGACGATCGTAAAACGAAATTTAATTTAAGGGCTAATTTAGGGGACCTTTAAGCTAGGGATCCCATACGTAGGTGGTAGCTTATGGGTTGTTGGTGAAATCGGGCATAACTATGATAATTAGTGTTAGAGTTTCATCGAGTTACTAAGCATTCTAATTATTCAGGTAACGTCTACATTTACCACGGCGGCCGTTGGGGTACCGTGTGTGATGACTCGTGGGATGATGCAGCAGCACACGTGGTATGTCGTCTCTTCAATAGAACTGGTATCGCTACTCATGGTTCACAGTTCGGCGAGGCCTTAGGTAAAACTTTAAATGAAATATAAATAATAAATAAATAAATATGTTGGGACATTAACACACAGCACCATCTAGTTCCATGATAAGCTACGAGGTGTTATGGATACCAGATAGTTGATACACTACACATATACAACTTTAAATATATACATATTGTAAATATAAACACAGATGGCTAGAGTACACACATTGATGCTACACAAATGAACGCCCCCAGCGGGACTCGAACCCACGACCGCTGTCACAGCAAGTAGGATCTCTACATACTGAGCCAGACATGTCATTTCGTGGATAGTGGTAGTTGTCGAAATATATAATACAACTTGTATATCTAATTCGCCGTCGTCTAGAATGTGCGGTTGCAGATCCGAAGGTCTCGGGTCAGATTTTCTGTCTAGAAGTTCTTATACAGCACGGAGTTGGGAAGTTGATGATGTGACAACCTTGTACCTCGGAAAGCATGTAAAGCCGTCGGTCCTAGAAATATTACTGAATCGATAAGAGTGCACTTGTGTTTGCGCGCATTCTAGTACACTATACAAACTCCTGCGCTATGTTAATCTGTGAGACATTAAGAATGCGATATAATTTTAAATAGCGGAGAGACCCGTCTGTTCCGTGACCATGATTGCTGTAAAGCATTCGAAACGTCGGGAACCAAAAATCAAAATAAATCCGCGAAATAATTAAAGATAGTTTTATTTATAATGTCAAATATTAGCGTAAATCTAAGAAAGTAAAATGTTTAATCTATACATATAATAAAATTGTAACTAAATCGAATCTGTAGATTTAATATTTTTTGGAAAATCTAATTGAAATAGACATTATTGTCGATACAGAGTCCGAATCTATAGTTTTTAGAATTTTTGTCTGTCTGTCTGTCTGTTACCGCATCACGAGAAAACCAGTGGATAGATTTTGACGGAATTTGGCATGATGAACGCTGGTTATCCGGGTCAACATATAGGATACTTTTCCTCATTTCTGAGAAAAAATACAAAAACTGCATTGTAAGAGTATAGTAATATGTAACCCTAAGAATTTGGTTTTTAGTCATATGAACGCGGGTGGTGCCGCGGACAATGCTAGTGCGATATAATATTTAGTTTAAAGTTGTACATTAAGAGAGTTTCTAAAATAAATCTGTACCTCCAATGAACAAAATTATAACTAAGTAGCAAGTACGCTGGTACGAGCTACAATTTCGCATATACTTGTATGAGAAATTAACTTCTATGTTTAAAATTATCTCGACGTGAAATTACAATGTTGCTCTTTACGATGTCACAAAAGATGGCAATAAATAAAATGGCTTTCTACAATAGATTTTTAAAAATTATATTGAAATTGCAAGATCGACAATTTTAACTGTTACTTTACTCATAAATTTACTCATAGATGAATTTTGTGTTCTTTATTTGTAGCAAAAGGTGATAGTTCAATACAAGTGAAGTAAAATTAATTGTGAGCTAAACAGAAGTAAGCATAATAAGTCATAAACATAATGTCTTCCTGAGTGATTTCGAACACGGTGGCCAAGTTCATTGAGACTAGCCAACTGCGCAGGAGATAATATTATAGTGCACAAGTGTACGCGCAGACACAACGTGCACTCTCTATTCCTGTCACTCTTATACTCTGATGGGACGATAATTCAACACGACCAGTGAGGGATCAGGCGCAAGTGTGTCAGCTTTTCGTGCTCTTCGAGGCACAGGGATAAAACACTTTCCAAATCTAGAATGTTACTGAGACTTTCTAAGCCGAAAAACTTAATAACTAAACAGAGCACGAGCCGTGACTTGAACCCAGGACCTATTAAGCTGTAGCCATACATGGTAGTCACTAGATCATCGAGGCAATCAAATCGATATACAGACGTACCCTAAAAACAAAAATGCAAATTGAAATATAAAAATATAAAATATATCTATTTTAAAAGCTTGAACTAGAATTTCTTTTATTTAGAAAGACAAAAATATATCAAAGGTTATGAATAATATTTTATGCTCAGAGGAGGTAGCTGGCAACTGCGTACTTTTATAGTTAAACCAAAATTAATATTTGTATGAGAAATACAACAATTCACCTAATACGAGATTTATAACCGTGACGTCTGGCTTGTGTGCTATTTGGGAACATTACCAACACAAAAGACAGTTATTTGTAAGTTGTAATAAACATAAATTAAACATAACGTAATTTTAAAGCATAATAATTATTTTTAGTGATATTAGCGTACACTTTCTTCCCGTGACTCCGTTGCCACGGTACTTTCATAGAAAACAGCCTTTATCTCTTCATTCAACCCTTATTAACTTCCCACTGCTGGGCATAGACCCCCCTCAATATAAGGGGGATCAAGCCATATTCCACCACGCTGGCCAAGTGTGGGTTAACTTCGCGTCTTCCGAAAACTATTAATTTATCTTAGACATAGGGATTCCTTGTGATGTTTTATTTTAAAGTTGAATTCGCGCATGAAAATACTAGAAATGAGAGACCCGGGATGTGAACTCACATAACTTGGTTCTCTAAACTAGCGCTTTACCACTGGCCTACCTTTAAAGTATATTCAGAAAACTACATATATTACTAATACAAGATTTTTTTTCAATTTCTATCCGTTAGTTCCAGAGATAATCTCCGTAATAAAAGCCAATGAACTCACAAACAAAATTTACAAAAATCAAGTGAAGCATATTGACCTGTTTGCGATTGAAAATATATTTGAAGAAATAATAAATTTTAAAATATGAATAATCCATATTACATTAAAAAATTGACTTAAAAATGATGTAAAAGTTTAAATTACTCCACTAGAGGTATATTTATTGATTCGAATTGAAAAAATTTAAAGCCGATTTCCATAATTGACAAATATACACGACGACAACACGTTTGGCTCAGTTTGTAGTGACCCTACTTGCTGGGCCGACGGTCGCGGGTTCGAGTGGGGGCATTCATTTGTGTGATGACGAATGTTTGTACTCCAGTCATGGGTTTTTATATTTATAATATGTATGTATTTAAAGTTATATACGATTATGTGTAGTGCATCAACTATCTGGTATCCATAACACAAGCCTCGTAGCTTACCATGGAACTAGATGGTGCTGAGTTAATGTCCTAACATATTTATTTATATGTATGTATGCTATAATATAGACACTATAATAAAACACAAGTTATTCAAATAATAACACTTTTAGAAGTAAGAAAAAAATTCATACTAATGTCCAAATCGAAAGTTTGGAACTACCAACTTCTGTAAAGTCGCCACCTTTCGTTTATCTTTTATTAAATTGCTGCTTTTAAGTTATGATTACATTTTCTTTAATAAAATTCAAAAAAATGATATAATTAAGTAGAAACTAGATAGTAACTACAGCTGAGCTACTACAATTTTACTTTAGCTTTTCTCACGAGCATTCAATTAAGTTTTCAATTAAAACGAAGATGCACTTGGTTTATACGTTCACTGTTTAAAGCAAAATCAACGTCTCTGCGATAGGATATCAAGTACTCTGCAGGGTCATAGGTTAGATTATTACGTGAATATTTGACATTTATACATATAATAAAATTGTAACTAAGCCGAATCTGTGCATTAAATATTTTTTGGAAAATCTTATTGAAATAAACATTTTCATCGATACAGAGGCCGAATCTATAGTTTTTAGAATTTTCGTCTGTCTTTATGTCTGTCTGTCTGTTACCGCATCACAGAAAAACCACTAGAGGGATTTTCATGAAATTTGGTATGGTGATAGCTGGTTATCTGGGTATATAGGATACTTTTCCTCATTTCTGAGAAAAATGCAAAAACTGCAATGTAAGGGTATACTAATCTGTAAAAACTAAGAATTTGGTTTTTGGTCATCTGAACTCGGGCGGAGCCGCGGGTAATGCTAGTTTTAAATAAAATTATTTCCCAGAATTTTACGCCTAGTTGTCGAGTTTGATCATAATCATTTTTATTAAGATAAATAGTACTATCCATATTTAATTATTTATTATATTTTAAATGTAGAAGCTTATGTTAGCTTTGTGTTTGTTAATTTTTTATGCTTAAACCGCTGATTCTGATAAAATGTTGTATGGACATACATAGATTGCATCATAAGGGGGCATAGGTTACCTTATATACCAGCTTTGCTTATCCAAATGGAGTCGTAGGCAAAATCTAATATAATATAATACCAGTGGCTTATGGAGTACTAGAAGACACAATTTTTCCGAGTTAATTCGCAAATACTGATAAATTATTTTTGAAAATATATATGACTTATAACCACAATCCCTCTTTCCATTGCTGAAAACTTTTGAAAATCCGTTGAACAGTTTCTGATATCAAGGAGAAACCCAAAGAAACACAAACTCAACTTTAATATAAAATATGTAGTGATTTAAATGAATAATATAATAAAATGTAATTTTTAATAGAGATGGGGGAAAAACGATATTTTGCTGTCACGCTGACTTCCGTTCCAGTTTCATAAAAATCAATGGAAAAATCCCCGTGACTTTGTCACTTCGGTTCCAATGTATAATGTATTTAATAACGGCGATACTCGGTGACGCCATTAACTTTCAGTTACACTTGTTCCCGAATTACTGGTGAAAAACAATTTAATTGATACGGCAGTAGATGATTCAAAACATACTTCATACTTTTTACAGGCTTAGCACTGTCACACAATTCAGTTACAATGTGACGTGTTTATTATTTTGAATCAATTATAATATATAACGATTTTATTAACATTAATTTTTTTTTTCGATCAACTTTTTTTTTCTATGGAACAATTGTCTGTCACTGACACTTAACATTGACAGTGACTTCAGGAACGTTGTAACTTTGGAAAGTTGTAATTTGTGCCCAATTGGCATTCCTGGAAGCCACTAAGCATAAGAATAGAATAGAATAAGTTGTTACTTTGGAGTATTACCAAATTTCAAAATTACCGCTCAATCTCATTCGTGTCTTCCTCACAAAACGTGACACTGGCAAAATGGATTGCGTCTGTTAACGCAACTATAAGCCATTATAGAAAAAAATTACTTTGGAGTAGATCGGATACTTCCAGAATGCCAGTTCTTTTTTTATGGGACTAAGGGGGCAGACAACGATTTATCACTCACCTCTAATTTTTTTAATTTTCAGAAAGATATTGGATGGACGATGTTGTATGCGAAGGTACTGAACATTCTTTACCACAATGTATTTTTACCGGATGGGGTGCATCTGATTGTGACGTTACCGAAGTTGCTGGGGTGATTTGCACAGAAAACACTGATAGCACTTTAAATAATAAGGATAGATCCACTTTACATCTTCATGAAGCGATTGATCTACGAACGGCAAGTCTAAGGCTAGTTGGAGGAAGGAACAGTCGTGAAGGGAGAATTGAAGTAAGTAATTGTTATTATTCATAATCTAACTTTTCTGAAAACTATTTCAACTCACCCGAATCTTATTTTGTCTTGTAAAAGTTTCATCCAAATTGCTTTCGCCATTGTACAGGTCAGCGATTATAAAGACATAACATAAGACAGCAAATATGTATATAGTATAGACATGACAAATCCAGACACATGAGTATAAGAAAGATTCTCATTCTTTTTTTCGATAATCTAAGTGCAATTTACACGATATTAATGAACGGATGAACGAGGGTAACAAGATATATAGATAAGTTTGTAATTAAAAAATTTAAAACTCCTCTTTCTCTTGTATATATCATTGAAATATAAAAATACAAAATAATTTCAATAAGCACTTGCCATCAGCTAAATTGCAATATCTAAAAGAAGAAGACAAAAATAATGGTTGGGCTTTGACATTGTATTTGAACTTCGATAACTTGCAAATAACCGTATGACCTACATACATTCCCCGAAAGAAACTTCAATTTAATTTATAAGTATACTAGTAGAACCCGCAGCTTCGCTCGCGCTAAAACTACAAAAAAATCTTTGAAAGGGTAGTTCCATACAAACTTTCATCCTCTATTTTACCCCCTTATAGCATGAATTTCGAAAAATGCTAAAACACGTATTTATTTAATTTTATTGAAGAGCTTTAATACTAAGTTTCAAGTAATTCTGATTATAAATATTTTTTTGGATTGCATTATAACGTGTTTCCCGTGGGAATGAGATAATATCCCGCGGTAAAAAGTAGCCTATGTCACTCTCCAGCCCACTGACTATCTCCACACAAAAATTACGACAATCCTTCACTCCGATTCGACGCGAAAGAAGGACAGACAAACAATCAAACAAACAAACAAACGAACAAACGAACAAACGAACAAACGAACAAACGAACAAACGAACAAACGAACAAACGAACAAACGAACAAACGAACAAACGAACAAACGAACAAAAGAATACATAAGCTAAATGCGACGCAGAATGTAGCTTTTGACTATCGTAAAAACAGAAAATGTTTGAGAACACACGCTTCATGCAAAGCTTCTTTTATGTTAATAAAAGTTTAACTACTTGTGATTCACAAGAAAAGTATACCATGTCGTCAAACTTTAATATAGCTTTCGCTAAAGTTGGGTAAGAAGGACGCTTTCGGTAAAATTGGGTAGGGCGCTTATTTTCAGTGGTAATATTGATCTATGCCATGGCAATAATTCTAAAACATTTATGATTTTTATGGGACTATATTACAGATGTAAAAATCTACGAATCTGTGCATATGTGTTCTATCTAGTCCTTTAAGCTGAAACGGCTGACCGGATTTCGATGAAATTTAGTACACTAAAGTCTAAAAACTATATCCTGGAACAGCACATACCGTTAGAAATCTAGAAACGTAGAGAGAACTCGCTAATTCTTGAATAAAAGTACTTTATTTAATTGGTAAAATAATTGAAACCAAAATAACAAGTAGACTCCGTCACTGTGGGGCCCACAGAATTACCTACTTCTTATGTGAATATATGACATTTTAAATAACACTAAGTATCTTCTCAGAATTTTTTGCGGATTTAATTTTATTTTTTCGTTCCCAATTTTTAGGACATAAACCCTTAGTCTCTCCCGTGACCATAATTGCTATAAAGCATTCGAAATGTCAGGAAAAATAAAAATAAATCTGCGAAAAAATTATTAACAAAAACACTTCAATTCATTTATTAGTAGCTGCGTGAAACGAACTAATTGAGAGACTTGTAAACAAAGCAATATGCCAATAATAATAACTATACAATATTAGTGTTCGTCTTCTTGTTGACATTCAACCATAACCATTATTGAAAGTTTGAGAAAAACATATAAGAATAGATTTTACTCATCTATATAAAAAAACGTGTGTGTGTATTATGTACGCACGTAAGCAGTTTTACTTCTTTGGCGTAACAGAAAAAAAATAGCTAAAGATTTCATCCCGTATGTCTCAACTCTCTGCTTGTAAAAGGAATGCAGCTAACTTCATCATGTCGCTTATTGGCTGTCGGTGTGCGTGCGCATCGTAAAAATATAACTCTCATAATTTTTTCCAAGCGTACCAAAAGAAGTTTTACATCAAAAACTAAATATTTTTTATTAATAATACTAAACCTCGTCAATAGCTACTAAACAAAAAAAATCGATTGACAAACTAAGAGAAAACGTACTGAATTGCTTTTACCTTACCTTTCTGGAACCAATATAATCTTTTTATCTTCTGAGTAAGTGACTTAAGTTTCGGGTTCAAAAGGGAATGATTTAATCTTTTAAGTCTATGCGAGAAAGTAACAAGTTTGAGTTTATTTAACTATTGTCAACCGACTTCAAAAAGGAGGAGGTTCTCAATTCGACTGTATTTTTTTTATGTTTGTTACCTCAGAACTCCGTCATTTATTAACCGATTTGGACAATTTTTGTTTTGTTTGTAAGTGTATACTTCCAGATTGGTCCCATTTAAATTTCAAAAATAAATATACCACCCCAAGGGTGGAAAAATAGCTAATGATGAATTTAACCTACTTCTAATTGTCATATTGACTTGAAACTTTGCAAGTGTTTCTATTTTCGTTGATAGTACAGTGGTTCGGTATTGTTGACCTGATCTGATGGTAAGGCCAGAAGGTGGATAGGTGGAACTCTTCAACGGCTAATCGTAGATACTTTGAGTTTGGGCTTATTTTGTTTGATTTGACAAGCCTAACACGTTAGAATCCTTACTTTGCTACTACTGTCTACACTAAAAAGGGAAAAATATAAACTTTTTAATAAAAAATAAAAACCGACTTCAAACAAAAGCACTAAAAAGAAAAAAATAACTGATTGGTAGTTTTCATTTACTATACATACCTAATCAAATATTTTCGAAGTTGATGTGCTTTGGCTAAGTGATTAAAGCCTAACTATTAAATACATACCTAATCAAATATCTTCGAAATCGGTGCCAGCCCATACAAAGCAAAGCACACCGACTTCGAAAATATTTGATTAGGTATGTATAGTAAATGAAAACTACCAATCAGTTATTTTTTACTTTTTGGTGCTTTTGTTTGAAGTCGGTTTTTATTTTTTGTTAAAAAGTTTTTATTTTCCTTATAGTTGTTTTTGAAAAATAATTGTGATTATTCTTATATTATATTAATTTATAAGCTGGATCAATTAAAGAAAATCTTCCTGTTTATCGCCAGTCTATATTTAAAAATATTGTGTATTTAAATAATATTTGTATGAGAAGAACATGCTTTTAAATGATATCATTTCTATTCAGTAAAAATTTAGAGGAGAACAGAACAATTCAAATTCTTTTCAACTTGTTACAACAATTTCGATTTCATTCAAAAGTTGTCTTGAAAATTTAATTATCTGCGGTTAATTTTTTAGATCTACTACAATGGAGTATGGGGCAGTATTTGTCCAGATGGATGGACTTTATACGAAGCATCAGCAGTTTGCCGTCATTTAGCCCTGGGACACGCTGAACAGGCGCTACAAACAGACTATTTTGGGAGTTCCAGAATTATCCTCAGTGGAGTTCAATGTGAAGGGAACGAAACTAATATCTTCATGTGCAAATACCAGGATTTCGGTGATGTCACTTGTCCCGGAAAAAATGGTAAAGATTTTTATTCTAATAAACTGTAACTAACTGAAAATGGCTCCAACGCAAAAACTTTCCGAACAGATAATTCAGTTAATCATGATCATTGAAATTTTACAATTTACAAAGAAACACTTACGGGACTTGGACAAATATGTTCTTTTTTCTGTCGTTAGCAGCTGGAGCGTTACAGCGTTAAGTAGTAACAAACAAATAAACAAACAACTTTTCGTTTTACAATATTGTACTACAAATAGAAGTGATTTTACATCATTGATAAATAAATAATATCGTCTCAAATAATTACAGATTTTATTATCAAGATAAAATATCGTCACTTTTAAAGCTAACATAAATCAATGGTAATTAAGATGCAAATTAAATCACCGGTGTAAGGCATAAATGGTTTAATATTGATCGCATAAATTATATAGCCATCAACTTGCAACGAAAGCTTCAATTTACACATAGATTACTTGTGCAACTTTGTACAATGCTTCATGAATAAGAGACGTATTATATTGTGACGACTCTCAGTTCGTCCAGATCTTATACATATACAGGGTTTAAAATCTAAAATCTTTTAACCCCTAAACCGACAAATAGATTTCCATGAAATTTGGCAAGGATAGTTATGTAAGTAAGGCGGACATAGGCTAAATTCTATCATGTGTAATAGTAACAGAATTTATAATTTATCCTGGCACATTTTATCTAGGTAAATCCCGTTGGCTGTAATTCAATACTCACTTTTAATAGGGATTAAAAAACTACTTTTAAAAAACCGACTTCAAAAACTAAAAAGTATAAAATAACTTTATGAAGATTTAATTTAATACACCTCTTATGCAAACCTAATATCCTTCATATTAATAAAATTCTATTATTTGTATGTGCTACCTATTGAACTTGAGGTTTGAAGTCTCACTCACGGATCATAAATGTCAGCGTACTCGATGAACATACATAAAAAACCAATTGAATTGAGAACCTCCTCCTTTTTGAAGTCGGGTAAAAAGTGTGTCGAAATATCTCTATCCTCTTTTCGGATTTTGAGAGTGAAAGGAATAGAGAGTGCATGTAGTGTCAGTGTACACTTGTGCACTATAACATCTCCTGCGCAGGTGGCTAGTCTTAATGAGATTGGCCGCCGTGGCCGGAATCGGTCAGGAGAACATTATTGGCATAGGCTTAATAATTTGTGTGAGTTTCTCGCCAGTTCTTCTCAGCAGAACTGCTTTCCGAGCCGGTGGTAGCTTTCTCACGGACTGACTCTTTATTTTAAATTGACTCTTTAAATTAAATTGACGATTCCAAAGTGCTTATAAGTCTATTTGATAAATTTTCATTTCTTTTATTACAATTTGATTCAATTGCAGGTCATGTAGCTGCAGTGGTTTGTACGTATTATTTAGCTGATCTCGTTCTTGATACGACGGCTATAGAGATGACAGCGCATTTACAGGATGTTCCAATGTTTCAATTGCAATGTGCGATGGAAGAAAACTGCCTCAGCAAATCAGCTTATGAGGTAGCCTTTTGATATATGTATATTATTTTATCTTCACTTTTTTGTTAGTTTCATTAACAGAGAGTACTTATTAGCCTCTAACATTTTCTATGACATTTTTTTTCATTAAATAACAGAAATATGTATGATGTCGCCGAGATTCTTTCGCCGTTTCCACTCAGGACTAATGCATGATCCATTCATTCTCTTGGTTCTGAAAGGATTAATTTTTAACCGACGTACAAAAAGGAGGAGGTTCTCAATTCGTCGAATTTTTTTTTGTTATAATGAAAATGTAGTGTGCATTCTGCACTATTGTCTTGTCATCTGCTATCCATCTGTTTAAGAATGACACCTGTGAAAAGGGTGTACCTAATTGCTGTAGTGCTACCTATTTAAGAAATGCCACCCTATTACACAAACGATTCGATGCTTTTCTCATAGGTACATTTTAGTATATTAAGGGTGAAAGAACCACGTTTATTTTCCTAAAGAAACCTCAAATATTGTAAGGTGAACCCAGCAATGGGTTCACAAATCATCAATCAAATAGGCTTACTCTTATATTGCCTGTTTACTTTACTCGAACGATTTATTACGCGGCGTGTATCGTGACAGTGGGAAATAAAATATTCCCAAATCTATTACACCAGGGATACCGTCGATCGTTCGTGTATTATGATATTTGGTTGGATTAAGGTATCTTTTATTCGCTATTCCTATAACTATTTTTTTAGTTCGCTTATTAAGCAATTTTCATCTATACATATAATAAAATTCTGAGTCGAATCTGTACATCAAAAATTTTTTTGGAAAATCTTATTGAAATAGACATTATTATCAATACATAGTCCGAATCTATAGTTTTTAGAATTTTTGTCTGTCTGTCTGTTACCGCATCACGGAAAACCCACTGGAGGGATGAAATTTGGTATGATGGTAGCTGGTAATCCGGGTCAACAATTAATAATATAGAATATATAATACTTTATTATATATATTTCGTAAATAATAATAATATAGAATACTTTTTACTGCGGGAAAATATCTCATCTCTAAGAAATCTACACTAAACGTTAAAACGTAAGTAGGGACGAACCCGAGCGGAGCGAAGGTGAGTCGCTAGTATAACATATTTTCATCATATAATGATATTTAACATTACATTACATATACAATAATAATGTATCTACACTAGTTGAATTTTCATACATTTATCATTCTTAAAAAAAAAAGTTTGAGTGCATCTATCTTGATTAAACGATCTTTTTAGTTATTTTAGGTACATCGAACATTAATAGCGTTATTCGTAAAAAAATATAATTTCTAATACAATTTTGATACCTTAGAACTAATTAATATTTTCTATTCAATAGAATGATCAAACTAAGTTCGTAAATAATAATTGGTCTAAAATATCTCGTAATATTACATACACATAAGTACCTCGTTTATTGTACAATACTTTATTGTTTTTCTTATTACCTCCTTATTTTTTAAGTCGGTTAAAAAAACAAAATTCAAAAATCTAACTCTGCCTTGGGTTTTTTATAATGTACACTTTGTATTACCACGACATTGTTAAAATTTCATACTTTTAATCCATAAAAGATGCAAATTTTGAAACCCTAAAGTACTTTCTGTTATGAAACAATAGATTTATGGCATAAAACCTTTGAACAGATGAATTATTTTAGGGAAACGGGATTAGAACGTCGGAGATATGAATAGCTGTCCGTTGATGAATATAGCTATATTTTATTTATCATCTGACCGTGTACATTGCCTTTTAGAAATATTGGCTTCATCGATTCACCGTGATGTTGTCATTGTCGCCATATAGAGAATATTTAATGATGCTCGCTATTATATTATATTCTAGTGACTCAGCTTCGCTCGGATTTCCTGTTCCCTAGGTTGATTCCCCATACAAACTTTCATCCCCATTTTCACTCCCTTAAGGGATAATTTCTGGAATAAAAATATCCTATGTATTTCCCAGGATCTCGAACTATCTTCTTACCAAATTTCATCTCAATCGGTCCAAAATCGGTAAACATACAGAAATGCAAATCTTTCCTATTAATTATAATAATAGTGTAGACTAGCGACATGCTCTAACTTTATGCGGAAGTTCTTTAATTTGATACTTCCTGTATTAATATAATTTTGAAACCTTCTTTATGTGTTGTTGTCTATGTTTAAGTTTGAAAATCGCCGTGAAATATTATGTTTTATTGAGTCGAAGAGCATTAGATATTTAGTCTAACTTGGCGAGAAAAAAAATTAAAGAGCAATAGTATAGTTTATATGATGTTGAATCTTGAGAGTAATCTAGGCATTTCTAAAATAAAAAAGATACCTAAAGCCGGGTGGGGTTGCTAGTACAAAATATATATATATATATATATATATATATATATATATATATATAATATTATAAATTAATTTTCCAGATACAAAAAACAAATGCGAACTGGCAGTTTGAAACTCGACGCTTGCTTAGGTTCACTGCTTCCTCACTCAATATAGGGAATGCGGAATTTCGACCATACCTGCCCAAGCATTTGTGGCAATGGCACCTCTGTCATATGTATGTGAATAAACTACATAAACTATAATTTCAACAGATTATAAAAATGTTAAAAAGTATTGTTAAAGCTAAAGTTTTTAGTTGTTCCTTTAAATCTTCTGCACCGCAGAAATCTTGTTAGACACAACAATAAGCCACTGCTTTGTCTGAAACTTTAAAGTTGTTTTAGTAGTTTCGGAGATACCGTCCAAGCAAGCAAACAAACAAACAAACAAACAAACTGTATACATTAACATAGTATAGATAAATATATGGATTTACAGGCATTATCATAGCATGGAAGTGTTTGCTACTTTCGACGTCTTGGACACAGCAGGACGTCGAATTGCTGAAGGCCATAAAGCATCATTCTGTTTAGAGGACAACACTTGCTTATCTGGTGTAGATAAAAAGTATTCTTGCAAGAATTATGGAGACCAAGGTATAAAATCATACTACAATTATTATATACTAGCGACTCACCCTTGCTTTGCTTGTGTTCATCCCTAGGTTATTCTCTAAATTGACATAACTTTTATTTATGTACCGATAAAAATAAATCAAGTACTAAATATTAAGTTAAGCTTGCATACATTAGTGAAAACCGCACCCGAATCGGTTAAGCCGTTTCTGAGAAGCGCGCGCACAAATGCACAGAAAAACAGACAGAAATTCTAAAAATCAGTGTTTCGGATTTTATTGCGTAAATAAAGACTCCTAACAATAGTTTATCTCAAAAATCTTTCATGTACAGACAGCGATCAGTTACACTTTTATTAGTATGTATAGATTACTATTAAAGTTGTATCTACGTAAAAATAGTTGATCCGATATAGGTGAAATTTAGTATACCCGAAAATTATGACCTAGAGTAGGCTACAATTAGTAATAAAACTTACTAATAGGTGGCGCTGTCTGTCTATCGGACTATATTATAAATACCAAAATGTGTGCACGTTTGTTACTCCTTCACGTTGAAACGGCTGGACTGGTTTGAATGAAATACACAGAAAGATATGGTCTGGCATCTGTAGTAGCATTGGCTACACCAGTCAGTAAATTTTACTAAAAGTTGGTGCTGTCTATTAATAATAAATACGAAAGTCATCTAAGTTGCTCGTGACGTAATATACGAGTATACAAAAAATATCTCCAAATTAGTAGACTAGGATTGTAGGTTCGATTCTTGTTCTATACTAATATTATAAAAAGGTAAGTTTATGAATTGTGAGTTTGTGACGTTGTAAGAGGTAATTTCTGGATCTACTGAACCGATTTAGATGAACATTTTAAATAAAACTATCTTTTCGGATTTTGTCGCGGATTTATTTGGATTTTTGTTTCCCGACGTTTCGAATGCTTTACAGCATCCATGGTCACGGGAGAGACTGAGGTGTTACATGTCTTGAATGTATAGTTGTTACTGACAGCCTACCCACAATTAACAAAATGAAAATTGCACCAATTACATTACAATATTTTTTAACTTTAAACATTTTTATAATTTTAATTATAATTGAATATGGAAAATTATTTATTTAATTTTGCTATTATTTTTATAATTATTACAATTTTAAATATTAATTAGTAATCTATATTTAGTGTTGCCATTATTATATTTATAACCATAAAGAAAAATATAAAATGTAGTATTAATTATTAAAGCCATATAATTGTTCTATGTGTAATTTAAAAAAGTTAAAATTAATTAAGGATAATAATTTTATTTTAGTTTGCTATTTTTTAAAAACAACTTACTAAGCAACACTATTAATATATACTTTTACAAATGAAATTTTTTATTTTTCATTTTTCATTTGTAAAAGTATATATTAATAGTGTTGCTTAGTAAGTTGTTTTTAAAAAATAGCAAACTAAATTAAAATTATTATCCTTAATTAATTTTAACTTTTTTAAATTACACATAGAACAATTATATGGCTTTAATAATTAATACTACATTTTATATTTTTCTTTATGGTTATAAATATAATAATGGCAACACTAAATATAGATTACTAATTAATATTTAAAATTGTAATAATTATAAAAATAATAGCAAAATTAAATAAATAATTTTCCATATTCAATTATAATTAAAATTATAAAAATGTTTAAAGTTAAAAAATATTGTAATGTAATTGGTGCAATTTTCATTTTGTTAATTGTGGGTAGGCTGTCTGTAACAACTATACATTCAAGACATGTAACACCTCAGTCTCTCCCGTGACCATGGATGCTGTAAAGCATTCGAAACGTCGGGAAACAAAAATCCAAATAAATCCGCGACAAAATCCGAAAAGATAGTTTTATTTAAAATGTCAAATATTCGCGTAAATCTAAGAAAGTACGATTTAGATGAAATTTGGTAAGAATATAGTTTAAAACCCTGGGAAGGACATAGGATACTTTTAATCCCGGAAATCATCCCGTAAGGGGGCGAAAATGGGGATGAAAGTTTGTATGGGGAATCACCCTAAGAACGAAGCCAAGAGGAGCGAGCGAATGTTTATTTAGATAATAATAAAATGTTTAACGTTATGTTATTTCAGGTGTTTCAGTTAATTGTTCAGATATATACCAATACAATATCGACTGCCAGTGGGTCGACGTGACGGACGTAGCGCCTGGCGACTACACGTTTAAAGTAAGCTGCAATTTTTCATATATATACTAAAATGACTTAGTCTTGCATGTATGTATATATTCAGTCCTGTATATTATTATTTTATTAATCTTGCATAACTTATTTTTTTTATTATGGAATAGTATTAGCGCAAGTTACGTTTTGTTTTAATTTTTTGGAGTTTCGTAGCCAAAAGACTGAAATGGAACCCTTATAATTTCGTCATGTCCGTCTGTCTGTTACAGCTGTTTTACTCGAAGCTATTGGACCCTTGCAATTTAAGATAAAATAGGGATGGCATCTATTTATATAAAACAAAGTTTGGTTTGTCGCAACACTTATAACTGGAGAACTGCTTGACCGATTTTGATGATATTTGATATGATGGATTTGTCTCCGCCATCAAAATATTAAAACATCGGCAAAGTTGAGGAAAAAAAATTAAAATCTACATGGCTAACGCTGGCTAATAACGATTTGTATGTTTGTATGTTAGTTATTCCTCCACGCCAATAGCTGAACGGATTTTGATGAAAAGTATACAGACAGACTATAAAGTGGCACATAGGCTACTGAAACTCACCCTGATTTTGCTCGGAGGTGCCCCTTGTAATATATATATATATATAGATAACTAATATTCCAGGTGGCTGTCAACCCTCACGCCAGAGTGGCAGAACAAAACTACCACAATAACGCCGCCTCGTGCGTACTTCGTCTTACTGAAACCTACGCTTATGTATACAAATGTACTTTACAAAGACCATAATTATGCATTAAATGTTAAAATTGTTCGCCATTTTTGTTCTAAAATTAAACTTGCTTGTATTGTTTGTTGAAGGAAATATAGCTTGCTTTATGAGTATAGTATAAATAATGTAGTTTTATTTTATTTTAAGTTTCTTATATATTTTTGAGGTTCCTTTTATACTTTAATATTATAATACTTTCTTAGATTTATGCAAAATATTTTGAATGTAATGTTTGTGTAAAGCATTCAAATGGATAATAAAATCTAAATAACCCTTAGAAGGTCTTACCCTCGTCTATTTCAATCTCGACAACATTATTACCAAAAATCTACTTTTCCCTACTATAGATAATACATATATATTATTTACACAAATATTACGAAAAAAAAATTCCATTATAATGTAAGCCCTATTAAAATATGCTGCGTAGTTTAGGAGAAATAAACATACAAACAGACCAGAAGAGTTTCATACTATTTTACGACACTTATGATATTTTATTAAATTAAAAAAAAAACCATGTGTAGTAGTAATTTTATTTATTAAAATATACTTAATACTAACCCACATGACTATCATGTGTTCTCTTGAGCAAATCTGCACTTTCTAGTGATACCCAATATTTTCTAAAATTCATATTTACATAAATAAATCACTAAATATTCCATACAATATAAACCTACATTAGAGCTTTAAACATATTTGTTATACAATTAAAAATAATATAAAAATTAAAATGATATAAATAAGATAATATGATATAGTCCATACTCCATAGTGATAATATAGTCCATTATAAAAATACGTAAAAAATATAAGAAAAAAATGTAAAAAATAAAAAAATATACATCGTTTAGTGATATTTTTTATTAAAAAAAACATCATTTAGTTATAATTCGCACAAAAATGTGTTTGGGCAAAGACAAGTTAATGTATGAACAAATTTTTATTACATTTTTGCTATGATAAAATTAAAAAAATAAATAAAGATTAAAATATATTATGTACCCGTATATAAAAATTTATATTAAACATAAATATACGTATAGTTCAAAATTGCAAACCAATATAGAATTAATAGTTAGTCTAATGTGAAGTCACGAAGTACTTGTATAAAATACACTAAACGGTCATATCAAAAAGTAATTTATATAAAAACACCCCAAAACTTAATACGCTATGATTAAATATCACATTGTAACCTTACCCTTTAATATCATCACAAATAGGTAACTCAATTATTGACTAATCGTCGACTTACTGCTTATTTGTTTAAACGGCCTATACCTATTTGTTATATTTTCCAGAAGAATTTTTCCTCTATTTAAAAAAATCTTTATTTTTATGATTTATACTTAGATAAAATAATTTTTTATGGCTTTATTATAGTAAAATGTGTATTTAATACCAATAGAATTGACTTTCAAAATCAATAATCCTGTATTAAAAACTCTTTCGGTAAATTGGTCGTTTGGACAATAAGCACTGAGACGACGTAATACCTAGTGATTTAAAATACTCCGTATTTTATCAAGACCTTCGAATATAACTATAAAATAAACTAACATACACAGTAATTGTTTATTTGTTATTAATAGACCTATTATGATGATATTATATATCCAAAAAAATATATGCCAAGTTTACTTTGAAGTGGTGGTAATTTGGCCCTTTATAGTTTTAAGTATTTATATTATTTTTTAGTTGCCAAATTGCTTATAAAAATTATGCTTACATTACAAAAAATCCATTTCAAAACTTACACAATACACATACATATCACAACACCACACACACATACATACATACATACATACATACACAAAACCCTATCATATCTATAGTCCAAATCAAAATGCAACATACTAAAAATTCATCCTTTCTTAAACTTAATCAACAAAATACTGACAGTAAGGTATACTACGATCCAGAGGGAAGTAGATATAAAGCCAGAGTACACTGTTGGCATACTAATGGACCAGCCTCTTTGAAGCATGGACCGGAGAGATTCTGTCGATTTTGTGAGAGGAAGTACGTAACTGATCCATTGAAGGATCGTGTGCATACCTGTGATAGAATAGTCCTTGTTAAAATGATATAGTCCAATAGAAACATATTTATTATACATACATATTAAATTATTTTGTTCTGAAATAATTATTTTATTATTACTTGTTTTTACTAATAATAGGAAATATTTATAATTATTTAGTTGATTTGAAATCAAACTTTGAAATGTTTTGAGTCAGAAAATTTGTAGAAAAAAAAAATTTGGCTGAGTTAACGCTGACGGCTAACGTTGACGCTGTATTATAACATTGTCAGCACGAGATCAAATAGAAAAAGGCTCTATCAAATTAGTTAGAAAAAAATGTTTTTGTTTTTTTTGTGAAAAATTGTTTTTTTCATACAAGATTCCTTAAAAAACAAAACCTTATCTAAATACAAAATTTGTTACAAATCTTTAAATCTATTTCTAAGATACAGAAATAAATATATATAAATACAAGAATTGCTCATTTAATATTATAAGATATGAAATGATTACAAACCTTCAACAGGCCATATGATCCCACACAGTAGCATCATGGGCAGGAATGAACCGAGGGCTAAGTATGTCGCAGTCCTCTCTGTATCACATATACAGGATACAACAAAGCCTGTAAATAATAGTATATTTAATAAAAATGAGTCGCAAAATATGTTGCTAAGCGCGTAACTCGAGAACAATTGGATTAATTGGACAATTTTTTTTAATTCATATATTCGCTTAAATCCGAGGAAGGTTTTAGGAAGAGAAAAATTGGAAAAATTGCCCGGAAAAACGTCGAACAACATTTTTCTAATCTGGGCTGCTGGCTGCTACACATTTGATGTGACAGAACGAGGTCTGTCGGGTCGGCTAGTAAATAATAAAATAAACCGGTCAAGTGCGAGTCGGACTCGCGCACTAAGGGTTCCCGTACCATTATCTATAAAAACGGCAAAAAAATCATGTCTGTTGTATGAGAGCCCTACTTAAATATTTTTTTATTTTATTTTATTATTTGTTTTTATAGCGGCAACATAAATATATCATCTGTGAAAATTTCAACTGTCTAACTATCACGTTTCATGAGATACAGCCTGGTGACAGACGGACAGACAGACAGACGCACGGGCAACGGAGTCTTAGTAATAGGGACCCGTTTTACCCTTTGGGTATGGAACCCAAAAAATATAAATAACTTGGAAAATACCAACATAGTTCAACTAAGACTCATTACGAAGAACTAAAAAGTCGGACATATGATATATTTTAGTTATATTTTAAATATTTATATTACTTAGTTTTTTAGTTACATTAGTTCAAAATTGTATGAGCCATACAAATATTAGAATTTAATATCAGTTGATCCGATAGACGTTGTCCTATTTATGACATATTTTGCACGTTCAATTTTCTGGGTAACCTATCCAATTTTCCCCGTGGACGGACTTTTGATGAAACTTAATACACAGATAAGTGTTGAATTGAAAGCTTTAATAATAATACTTCAGCCCTCATACGTTATGATTGGATAACGAAACAGTGTAGAAGTAATCCACTATATGTATAAAGAAATGCCATTATAGTTTTGAAGTCTATTCAGTCTTTGTTCCCCTTTTTAGTAAAGGAACGTGAAAAGATAGGTATCAATGGCGAAGCGTCCATACAAGACGTCTTACCTTAATATTATTTTGCTATAATTTTACATACATTTAATTTTTTAAATGTATAAATGTTCTATTGAATATATGTATATGTATATATATATATATATATATATATATATATATACAGGTTGTCCTGTTTTCAATGGAACCTTGAAGTGGCTTGTAGCAGAACTCTTAGCCGTTCAGTAAAAAAATACAAAACCAAATATATTGTAAGTAGTACCTAAGATATGATTTTTTTTAATAAAAGACTACATATTTTTATCTTATTTTAGATTATGGAACTCTACAACCACAAAATGACCGATTTTTGTTATTATTTTAATGTACACTAATCATGCCAATAGATAGGTAGTAAATAGTAAGACTGGCTATTGCACTTTTTTTTTAAAAACGACTTGAATTAACTTTTTCAGCGAAAAATTTGTAAAAATGTCATTTTCGACAAAGTTTAAGCACCTTGGGTGTAAAAAAAATGTATGAAAACATAAGTGACCAATAATTAAAAAAAAATACGTGTTTACAGTAGATTTCAAAATAGTATAATTCATTATGATATCTGATGTAAATTGTGAATTATTGCAATTAATGTACAAAAGGAGTAAATATGACTAAATATCGAAAAATGTATTATTGGAACATTTTTTACATTAATTTATACCTGACTATTGGTGTTCATTGAAAAATATCATCAGGCATTAATAATGAAAAAAATAGTTTATTTAAATAAATTAAAACCAAATAAAGTTCAAACTGAAATTTAAAAAATAGTTAATGCACAATGTTTTAAATGGTTCGTTATGATTTTGAAATGGATCATGTGATGTGATATTTACTACCTGCGCGAACCCTTTGCACCCTTATCTTTTGTTCATGTTAGACAAAGAGGGTCTAAGTTGGCTGAGCAAGAGGGTGGTAAACAATTTGAACACTTATTATAAATAAAATAAAGTCGAATTATTGTCGAATGTTGTGTTTTATTAAACCCCCAATGACCAGGTACAATTTAATGTAAAAAATGTTCCAATAATACATTTTTCGATATTTAGTCATATTTACTCCTTTTGTACATTAATTGCAATAATTCACGATTTACATCAGATATCATAATGAATTATACTATTTTGAAATCTACTGTAAACACGTTTTTTTTTTAATTATTGGTCACTTATGTTTTCATACATTTTTTTTACACCCAAGGTGCTCAAACTTTGTCTAAAATGACATTTTTACAAATTTTTCGCTGAAAAAGTTAATTCAAGTCGTTTTTAAAAAAAAGTGCAATAGCCAGTCTTACTATTTACTACCTATCTATTGGCATGGTTAGTGTACATTAAAATAATAACAAAAATCGGTGGAATTCATTCATTTTGTGGTTGTAGAGTTCCATAATCTTAAATAAGATAAAAATGTGCAGTCTTTTTTAAAAAAAAATCATATCTTAGGTACTACTTACAATATATTTGGTTTTGTATTTTTTTCTGAACGGCTAAGAGTTCTGCTATAAGCCACTTCAAGGTTATCCATTGAAAACAGGACACCCTGTATATATAGCTTTATTTCTTTCTACATTAATATGTATATAAAAATTATATATTTTTGGAACGGCTTCCCTCTGCTAAAATTTCACACTTCGCCACTGATATGTATTAAGAACTGCCATTATCGATATGTAGTCTATTCAGTTTTTGTGGGGAATTCCCCTTTCTAGTAAAGGAACGTGAAAGGATAGGTAATAGGTATTTTAACATGAATATTGTATGTAAAAATCATACCCACCGCGTAATATGCGCTTGCTAGAAAACATTTTAAAATGTCTACATATAATTTTGGTAAAATAATAAAAAGTAACCGAGTTTCAACTCGACGTTAGTACGTTTGTATTAAAAATGTATGAATTAATTTGAAATTCGTTGGAATTTAAATTTTCTTCTCACTCCTGGATGTAGATTAACTAAGTTACTAAAAATCTTAAGGTGCTTCCATACAGGAGTTAAAAAATGTAAGATTTGTTAAATGAACAATTTATCGCAATAAAAAAACCATTGTATATGAAAAGTTTTTAAATATAATTTTTTTTTATTAAATGTCTTCTAACATTTGCTAACAAAACAATTTGAAGCAAAATATAACGTAACTGTTCTTAGAAAACATTAAACCCCGGGCGACGCGGAGTTTTCAGGTAGGTTATAAAATGTTAGGAAATGTTCTACAACATGTTTTATCAGTGTGGAAGCTTTGAAAACATCTAACAATTATTATGGTCATCTCAGTGCTAATATGTCCAAACGACCAATTTACCGAAAGAGTTTTTAATACTGAATTATTGACTTTTAAATGCCAATTCTCTTGGTAAAATTAAAAAATTAAATTCTATTGGTATTAAGTTATACAAAACAAAGTCAAAAAATTATTTTATCTATATGTATATGAATCTTAGAAATAAAGTTTTTTTTAAATAGAAAAAAATCTCTATCCTGTAAAGTACAATAAACAAACAAATAAACACTAAGGCGTCGAATAGTTAACATGTTACTGAATGTTAAAAAAGTGTTTGTGTTCAAAAAATTATGTAATGTTATATAACATTTTTTAACTGCTGTGTGGAAGTGGCATTAGATAATATTTATAGAGTAAGTAATTCATTCATATTTTATTTGTATTCAGTATAATATATGTATAACTTTTTAAAAGTTACAAGAAGCAAACAAAAAACATCGTAAAGATGCGCTACGATCTCTACATATCTATTCAAATTATTCTTAACCCTAATATTAACTGCTTCTTCAAATGAAAAAATCCTAATACTATATAATTAAAACACAATATAATCGTATACTTTGACGACAAGTTTGGCTCAGTTTTAGTAACCCTACTTGCTGTGCCAGCAGTCGCGGGTTCGAGTCCCGCTGGGGGAATTCATTTGTGTGACGAGCACTAATGTTAGTACTCCAGTCTTGGGTGTTTATATTTATAAAATTTAAAGTTATACATGTGTAGTGTGTCAACTATCTGGTATCCATAACACAAGCCTCGTAGCTTACTATGGAACTAGACGGTGTTGTGTGTTAATGTCCCAACATATCTATTTAATTAATAGCTAATATATCTTATTTATTTCGAATCTCAAAATTTAAACCTAACAAGGCTAATAGACTATAAAATTAAAACAATATATTTGAATACTTACCAAAAGTCATTCCACATAATCCATTGATAAGGGTCAAGATGGTCACCCAGAGTACAGGTCCGGTGATGGTCAGACTGAAGACCACAAATCCAATAATCAATACTGTGATAGTTTGGGCTATCATAACTATCATTTGTACTAGAACATGGGAAAATAGTATCTCAGTACCTGAAAGGAGAGGTAAATTAGTTAAATAATATTATAATAGCGTTATAACCTTATCAAAATAGGCTCATTTGTCATCATTAAGATTTTAAAAATATGAAATTAGGTAGATTTCTATTTTGTATAATATTCTAATAAGTAAGCATTCTAGAAGAAGTTACCAAACCAGAGGCGTAGAAAGAGTTTATTTTTTATAACTTAAAATAAAAATAAATAAAAATCGTTATAACAATGTGGGCTTGTATATTAATAAGGGAGAGGGGAGAGGGGGGGCTTATATTTTTTATAAACGGTGAGGCTCAACAGAAGAAAGGATGGGAAACCCTGATCTAGATCACTTTCTACAAACGATACAGGATAATAATATTAAAAATTATTTTAATGAAATAACAAATTTAATCGTTGGCATAGAATCAATGTCATTTCATGATTGAGCAATCGGCCCTAAGTAAAATCTACTTTATACTTCTCGACCATCAATACGTAATTATAACGGGCCATATACTATCCATGCCGATGGACCCTCGGAGGGCCGGATTAAATACTTTCGCGGGCCGGAGTTGGACCGCGGGCCGTACTTTGCCCATCACTGGTATAGATGAATACAATTTCAATGAAATAAGATTAATGAAGATAGATATTTGTAAACATTTTACGTTTCATTATAATATTATAATTTTCAATAATATTATATATTTTTTACATTGCATAAATGAATTCATATTGGAATAAAAGATGGGTAGTACGTGTAGATTCGCTTTCTCTTTCTAGATAGTAGTCAATTTCATGGTAGTATTACTCAGTCCATACACTAGGTCTATGATTAATATTATCGCATCGGTTATATATTATTTACCTGTGATTCCAGAGACAAGAGATCGTTCAAGAATTCCTTCGTTCCTTTCAGCCAACATAGCACCTGATGTTAAAGCGACAGCCAAGAAAAAGATGATCCTGTTAGGTATAAACAATAATTTTTTAATGGAAAAAAATGATTTTTATAAAAGCTTAAATTAGCCTATTTGTTAAATATAAAATCTCTTACTTTGTGAAGTCTGACACGTGAACGGAGGGTTCCGTATCATAAAACATTTTTTTTTAAATGGCTTATACATTATTGGCGTTAACACATGCAGTCCATTCTGCCAGTGTTAAAACATTTTTACATATGTTTTAAATTTACAGACAAAATATTTACCTATTTACATTCATTATATATTTGACAACGTCAAAACAAAATTTATTGTGTAATCGAAATTCTTTTAAAAATATACCCGAAAATAACATAAAAAATTGAAGTAATAGTATAAAAAATGTTTTAAAAGACAGAAAAGAGAAAATGGAAAGTGCATAATAATTACAAGACTTCCGCGATACCATTCAAACAAAGAAAGACAATAGCATTCCCAAGGACGTCAGGCAGGCGGCCGGTCGTAAACTTTTGCCAAATCCTTCCAGCAGTACAGACGATGTACTGCGCCGACCCCAAGTGATTGGGAAAATGGGCAGGGAGAAGAAGAAGATATATATTGAACATATCTTCTTTAAAATATTTAATTTTTGCGTTAAAAGTATATAAGAAGCTACGAGTATATTAATTCAATTTTTAAGAATCTAAAATAATAAAATCTCTCGATAAACACAAATTGTGTTGTTTTATACTATTTCAATATATTATTGTTTGTCTTCACGTTTTGTTCTATAACACTACAGTCTATATTATTTCTTAGTTTGAGGATTGTTTACAAACTTTTGTAGTAACATGTATACTAAATCGAGAAAAAACATCCAATACGCAACGCTAGATTCACGGTACACCACGACGGCTGTAGTTATTAAATTTTATATGTATATAATATATTTTGAGGGTCCTAAAACAATAGTGTCAATTCTAATAAAAGCTACCGTACGCCTTGAAGAGAAACCACGTTATTTAACTAACACGAAATTTCCGACCAAAGCTATTTATATAAAATATTTCAAAATTATCTCAATACCTATAGTTTGTGAACAAAATAATAAAATAGTCTAGGATCCGAAGTGAATTCGTTCTTGCAAAATGATTTTTTTTTGTTTATTTATTGTGTTTAATGTAAATTTAAGTCGAATGAAATATAAGTCTTAGAAATAATTAGTAAACTGAAGTGGCAGTAGACAGGTTTTAGAGTGGAGATTACGGCTCGGCAGCGTAGTGTAAGACAGGAGTCCAGCTATGTGGAGCGACAATATACGTAGTGGCTAGCAGCAGTTGGAATGCGTAAAGCTGAAGAGTTATGAGAAACGCCACGCCGGCTAGAAAAGCAAGGACTACCTATTAAAACCTTCTTTTTTAATGTTGGGAAATGTATTTACGCATACCACCTGTAGATATACAGGTGGTTATGTGTGACTCGCCGGCTAGAAACGCCAGTACTACCCACTAAAACCGAACGGAACCTCCACCGTCTTAATGGGGCGACGCAGGATCGCTTCCGGACTCAACCACTCGGCCCCAACGGCAGTCTGCCGAAGCAGACCACAACAACCATAGGGTTGCTCCAACGGTCCACACATGGGAGTATATCCTATTCCATTGGGATCCAATCACACTTCGGATCCCTTACTATAAATTTTAAGGACGGATGAAATCCAGATTTTAATTAGATTAGACTGGATGATTTATTAATTAGTAGTTTTAATTGTTATAATTTCCAAGAATGTAGGCTAGCAATATAAAATAAGAAAAAAAAAATTTTTTCCAATGAAATTGAGCTTTAATGTATTATTTTTTTTTAATAAGAAAACCATATAGCCTATTTGAAAAATATATTTCAATCAGTTTACGTACAATTAACGGAAATGTAGCATAACATAGAAAAAGGTATTGCCGGATTAAGTACCTTTTTCTTTATATGTTAGTTTAAACTCAAAAACCTATCTATACTGCCGATATACCTCCAGAATGAAAAAGAAAATAATTCCTATAGTATAGTTAGTACTTATTGTACAACCATTATTTTAGTTTGCTTCAATCTTAAATGTCATTAATTAAATAATCTGTAATGATCTAAATGATATACAAAATGTGACGCTGTGGCATTACAGCAATTGTTATCTACTTACGTTAAAATAACACCGGGGCCCGCAAAATCTGTGAAATTGGGGATCTTCAGACCGAAAATAGGTTCGTTGAACTGAAAAAGAAAATATTATTAAAAATCTGTTTCGATACAATTAAAACATATTAGTAACATCGCATTATAATATGTTACTCATATATGTGTTAAAGGGTCCACTTGTCTTACGGTGAAGGAACACATCGTGAGGAAACCTACATGTCTGAGAAAACCTAGCAAGTTTTTGAAAGACATGGTCAGTTCGTCCGCACTTGGCCATTGTGGTGGACTATGGCCTGATCCACCTCGTATTGAAGGGAGGCCCACGCCCAGCAGTGGGACGTTAAAAAGGATATAGGAATACATAATGGGATAGATCCTCAAATAGGTAATAAAAATGGAAAACATTAACCAACCTATCCCATAATTGGGTAGAATTTTCTAGAACTGTTTCTTTATTATTTTATGATTAACTAAGCAATTAAGAACTATATAATAATAAAAATAACTATACAAATTATTTCTGTAGCGCAATAAAATTCTGAGCCGAATTTGTATATTAAATATTTCTTGGAAAATCTTATTGAAATAGTCATTATTATCGATATAGAGGCCGAATCTATAATTTTTAGATTTTTTGTCTATCTGTCTGTGACCGCATCACGAGAAAACCACTAGGCAGATTTTGATGAAATTTGGTACGCTGATAGCTGGTTATCCGGGTAAACATATAGGATAATTTTATATTTTAGATATTTTATAAAATATCTCATCTCTGAGTAATCTATACTAAACATTAAAACGTAGGTTTAGTGTTATTTATAAGATGAAGACCAAAAAGTTAAAAAAAATTATCTATCAATCTGTATAATTTAATCTTGCTTATAACAGCTGAAGTTTCAAGGGTTTTTTTAAGCAAACTGAATATAAGTTAAAAGGTATCTAGATTTTATTTTAATTGGCTAGCGAAATTCAAAGAAATAGAAATATAAACTCATTGTTACATAAAACGAGATCATTAATTGATATGAACTAAAACACATTTGAAAGCAAAACTACAGGTAACAGTTAGTAAAAAACAGTATATATAACCTTAATGCGAATTTAATGTTAGAAGTAAGCCAAAAGTACCGAGTCATTGGTGCCATTTATAATGGACTCTAAATTGTAAATTGATGTAGCTCTCTATATTGTATGAGAATCAATAACTAATAATGTCAAATGCCAATTTGGGTTATGATCATCGATCAAAAAAGTACTAGATACACAATCAGCGACAAAAAAATGTCCTCACCGAATGACCACTCATTTGAATATTTGAGCGCGTTTTAATATATTTTGTTAAAATAACTTAAGCATTGCATTTAAAATTCAATTTACATTGTTGTATATATATTTCAACTAGAATAATTACCTAAGCACAATTGGTGACAGTTTTAAGAGAACTTTTGCATGGGATTGTGTATGTAGTACTTTTTTGATCGAGTTTATGATGAACAATCTCACTGAGACTAATTAATTGTGCTGGATATATTATAGTGCACAAGTGTGTGCATATACAAGTATGTATAAACAAAGTATTTTCTATTCCTTTCACTCTCATACTGGTGGAAAGAGATCTCGACACTTATGATGGGAGATAAAAGCGTAACTGATAGCTAAGTTTGTACCTGAGTATTTCATAACAGCAACTCCCCCTAACTATTTACATTACATTTGTATGATACTTACATTAACAGGTATTGCGAGCATTCTCTTGGGCAAACCGCACGACTCACTGAGGATCTCTGTTGTTTCCATGAAAGATTCCTGAATGTCTCTATTCAACATCCATTCCATTTGTTTATCTGGAAATATGTTATAATTTATTCATCTGTTATGTATAAGTTAGGCTTTTACGACCATAATCATTATTGGGAAATAAATAATAATATTTCTTTATACAAATAAAAAAAATATCCTATATGTTGACCTGGATAACAGCTATCATCATACCAAATTTAATCAAAATCTGTCCAGTGGTTTTCTCGTGATTCGGTCACAGACAGACAGACAAAAATTCTAAAAACTATAATGTATTTAAAAAATATTTATTATCGAACTGCTTTGTCTTTAGCTTTTCTATATAAAAGAACTGTTTCCAAAAAAATATATTGATAACACTAAATCTTGTCATTGCTAAACAAAAAAATCGATTGACAAACAGAGGGCAAAAAGGTACTGAAGTGTTGTCTTTGCCTATCTATACTAATATTATAAAGAGGAAAGATTATTTTTTTGTTTGTTTGTTTGTACCGAATACTCTATAGTTTGAGATCCTGGGAAGGAAATATGATACTTCTTATACCGGAAATCATCCCTTAAGGGGGTGAAAATGGAAGTATGTATTGGGAAGCAACCTAGGGACGAACCCGAGCGATGCGAGGGTGAGTCGCTAGTTTTATATAAGCAAGATATATGAAACACAGTATAACAGAACTATTATAAATGGAAATGTTTGTATGTGTGTATGTAAAGTGAGGGTAAGACGCTAGTTCATTATAACAAATGAGTGAGTATCTAACATTTTAGGGTAATAATAGAACTTTTCCATACATATTAAGTAAAGATTTTTGCCAGAATGTGTTCAGTCTGAACGGGAAATATATTTTTTTGCATAATGTCTCTGTATCCTGTGGACTAAATGCCATCCAAATCCGTCCAGCAATTTCAACGTGAAGGCGTTTGTTACGTTACACGTACGGCGTAATACATAGACATACACACATTTTTAAAGATTGAAAATTACTAAAGAATATTCCAAACAATACAAAGTTAATATTAAAAAGTCCAATTCGTCATGCAAAATATATTCTAATGTTTATAAGATAAGGGCCCAAGAATCCCTATCGAGAGTTTCATACAATTTGTATGTAAATTAGCTTCTTCTTTCGTTTACTTCCGTATGACAGTGTAAAATGTTTAACGATTTTCTGTTAAATACGTACATAAAGTATAACTTAGGTGGAAGCGAGAAATGTAACTTTGATTTATGTGATCTATACATACTCGTAGATACATTTTGAAGATAAAAGGTTTGTTTGTTTATTAATCTTTCATTTTGTAAATTCTTTTTATAAATGTATACATATAAAAAAATTCTAACTTATTCGAATCTGTACTAATTATTTTTTGGAAAATCTTATTGAAATAGTCATTATTATCGATACAGAGGCCGAATCTATAGTTTTTAGAATTTCTGTTTGTCTGTCTAGGAACGTATCACGAGAAAAGCACTGGACAGATTTTAATGATATTCGGTATGATGATCTGGTTATCTGAGTCAACATATAGGATACATTTTATTGCGGGAAAATATCTCATCTCTGAGAAAACTAAACGTTAAAACGTAAGTAGGGACGAACCCGAGCGGAGCGAGGGTGAATCGCTAGTATGGTACCTACTATATATTTAGGCTTGTGTTATGGATACCAGATAATTGATACACTACACATATAACTTTAAATACATACATATGATATGAATAAAAAACTAATAAATTCTTACCAGTATCATCCATATGTACTTCGATTTGAGAGTTCATGATAGTGTAGGGGTCTGTGTGTCGAGGATCTCTCATTCTCTCCTGCAGAGACTCAGAGAAATTCGCAGGGAACACCAGGACGGTGCGTGCTAAGCCTTTCTCTGCTTCTGCTAACGCTATTTCTTTGGTTGGATATAATATCTAGTAAAAGAAAATTATATTTATTATTATTTATGAATAAAAATAATTATTTTTAAATAAAAATAATTATTTTAGTAGTGGTAGTCCTGAATGAGCTTAATGATTGTGGATCACATAGAATTTTTACTTCACAACTTTACAATTCTAAACTAGGTACTTAATTTATATACATTTTTTAAGTCTCAATCTAGTTAACCAATGCATAGGATAGAGAATTGGTGCTGTCAGCTTAAAAGTTTGTGACTTCGTGACGTTATAGGGGGTAATCTCTGGATCTACTAGACCGATTTAGATGAAATTTTGTATGAAGATAGTTTGAGACCCTGGAAAGGAAATAGGATACATTTCATCCCGGAAATCATCACTTAAGGGGGTGAAAATGGGGTTGATAGTTTGTATGGGGAATCAAGCTAGGCCCGAGCGAAGCGAGGGTGAGTCGCTATTTATAAATAAAATAGGTAATAATATTCGCGATTCAGAATTTATTGCTTTTAAATTTATTGCTTCTTGGTCTTGGTCACTGGTGACCATGACCAGAAAAAATCTTATACGAGTATAAAACTAAATATATAAAAACGCAAAAAAATTAAAAAATATATATTTATCAAAAAAGGTCAAATATTCGCGTAAATCTAATATCTAAGTATTATAATATACCGAAAGACAATTAAAATTATCAATACAACGCTAAATGCAAGCAAGCAGATATTGCTTAGGAACTGATTGGATAAAACAAGTAAACAATCACCGTATAAGTGTATCGCAAATTAAATTAACAGCTCGGCTTTCTTGTTACGCCTGCACTAACTTATTCTGTAGATTAAAACTTTTACTCCCCTGAATATATAATTAAAAGCGGTACATTGATTCCGAAATTCATTGCAAATTATGTTAATAATTTTTAGAAAAGTTATGCAATAGCTATTAAAAATACATATTTTATCCGACTTTAATATGAGAAGTTCCAAAATTAAAGCTTGACGTAATTTAGATAGAAAACGCAGGTTTTTAAGATAAAATCGGGCAAACGCTAGTCTGATTGCACAACGAGGGTTACGTATTGTAAAAAAATTTATACGCCAAACGGTATGATACTTGTTTATGTTCTTTTCATAAAAACTACCTATACCTAAAACCTAAAATATCTCACATCTCAAGTTTCAAGGGACAATTGTTGTTCAGTATTTTGAATATCAGTCCGCCAATCCGCACTTGGCCAGCGTGGTGGACTATTGCATAATCCTCCTCGTACTGAAAGGAGGCCCACCCCCAGCAGTGGGACGTTAGAAAGGGCTGAGTATATTATGAATATCTATCCCAATATTTTTAGAAATTTTTAGAACGAAATATTCACTAATATATGAAGAAAAGATTCGTAGATGTGAAATGTAGGTACTCTGATATTATGTAAAGTAGAATTATAGCAGTACATTGTACAACGCGTCAACAAACGACAGCTATTACGATGTCAGGGAAACCAACAATGTTACACGAATTTGTAAGGAATGTTGGAATGGGACAAATATATATAGATAAATAATAAGTTCAAACTGTTGGTCTGTGATACTTTCTTTAGATTTACGTGATTGTATGAATTTGTTTGATTTTTTGTTGTTTTTTACGACCTCAAAAACCCTAAGTCTCCATGACCTGGCCATGTTTGCTGTAAAACGTTTAAAACATCGAGTACTAAATCAACACAGAAAATGGAACAGTGAGAAATCCGACAAAAATGTTGGTTTTGAAATTTTTGTCTGTAGTTTTTATTCACTTAATTTGTCTAGCAGCTTATAAAAGCTAAATAGATAACTACAGCTAAGCTCGCGTAATTTAAATCATACCATAAGGGGGTGAAAATTTAAATGAAAGTTTGTATAGGAAATCAACCTGGAGATGAACTCGAGTGAAGCAATGGTGAGTTGCTAGTATTTTATAATTTTTCAATATAGCTCTAATTTTCTTTGATGAAATGATTGTGACATACGGAAAGCTGGACAAAGCGAATAATAGCTCTGTTTTGCCTTTAGGCTAAGAAATCTTAAAAATAACTACATCGGTATTTCATGTTTGTAAACATTTTTTATAACAGCGAATTTCATAATTGGACTTAGTCTTAAAATGAGTTTATAATTTAATTTCGCCTCCATTGTCTCCATCGCCAAGGATTGCCAGCAACTAAATGTTTACGACTTCCGCTATAAGTTATAAAATAATATACCATTATGCTAATTGTGGAACATTTCCGAATTTTCCACTGTAATTTTCAGTATAAAGTAATTCAACGAATATATGTCTATTGTTTAGAAGTGCGATCGAATACTATCATTTTTTAGGGTTCTGTATATGAAGGGTGCCAACTGAACCCTATTACTAAGCCTCCGTTGTCCGTCCTTCCGTCTGTCTCATGAACCGTTTTAGGTAGAGAGTTCAAAATTTCACAGAGTATGTATTTCTATTGCCGTTATAACAACAAATAATAAAAAAAATATACAAAAAACATTTTGTTAACGTTCGTAATCGATATTAATATACTAAATACATAGAGTAAAAGTCATATTAATAAAAAATCATATTAATAAAGATATATTCTATATTCTATTTTATTTTATAAGTTCTAAACATAGATGTTTTTAAATCATTATTTTGTTGCGTTTTTAAAATAATAATAATAAATACATATAAAAAGATTGTAAAGTAGCTCATTTCAAAAACAATTTAATCAATTTAATTGGCAAAAAAAATATATAAAAATTATAACTTAATTAACGTTGCCGTCTTGAAATATAATGTTTTTTTTTTTGTTAATATTAACTACAATTTAAAAAAGTAGCTAATTTTACTACAAATCCGTGATGAAGACCCAAAAACATAAATAAATCTCATCTAAAAAAAACTTACCAAATTATGCTGTCGTTTCGACAAAACGTCCAAATATCTACAGCTGAATCTTGTTAAATTCCATTCCCAAGTTTTACGGTCTTGAGGGCAGCTTTTGTTGTAATGGCAGAGGACGTTCGTGTCATTCATAGCTTCATGGTTGACTACAGCTATAGGTAAAATGCTTGGATAATGTCCGATGGCAAGGCAGAAGAGTATCATTTGAGATAGCGGTAACCCGACGATGAATGTTAGCAAGCTGGAAGATAATTGTTGATTTAAAAGATATATTAATATTTTGACGACACGTTTGGATCAGTTTGTAGTGCTGTGTCAGCGGTCGCGGGTTCGAGTCCTGCTGGAGGCATTCATTTGTGTGATGAGCACGAATGTTTGTATTCCAGTCATGGGTGTTTATATTTATAATATGTATGTATTTAAAGTTATATATATGTAGTGTATCAACTATCTGGTATCCATAACACAAGCCTCGTAGCCTGACATGGAATTAGATGGTGTTGTGTTAATATCCCAATATATTTATTCATTTATATTAGCAGAATTCTATTCATCCCCTTTTAACGTCCCACTGCTGCGTACGGGCCTCCCTTCGATACGAGGAAGATCAGGCCATTATCCACCACATTGGACAAGTGACGCTTTAAGGGGGCTAGATAAAATATTAACAGGACATTCAAACTAAGCATCATTAATGGATATATCAATGATGACGATGATCGCCATAATTTTTGGCATTCCATTTGCAATGTATTGATTTGAATAATAAGTCCAAAACAAAATATGTTTCATCCGATAAGCAGATTGGTTAATAACAACCTAACTTCAGATCTTAGACTACACAATTTATGAATATGAGATACCTTTTTAAATACTTAAGTCAAGGGTAATATTAATTACCACATGCCTAAGTAATAGCGTAATTTATAAGACCATATTCTATGTGTAATTTATAAGAAAATATCAGTGCTTAAAGGGATATTTTAATGTAATAACTATAATATGTATTTTATTTATATAATTCTTCTGTACGTATGTTTGTCACCTAACTCTTAAAAGGCTGGAGCGATTTAGATAAAATTTTGTGTGTATATTTCAATGAGTTCCTGAATGGTTTTCAACATTTTAAGACCCTGTAGATGGTGCTGCTGTGGATGTATCATCAAATTTTCATAAAAGACTCCATTTTCCGTGCAACCATTAAATTTTAATTGTTGATTAAATAAAATAAAAATCGATGTGTGTATGTATGTTCATTATGGACTCCAAAACAGCTGGAGCGACTTTGATAAAATTTTCAGGCAATCTTCAGATTAACCTAGCACGTGATCGTGTGAAGTTTGGTAGCGATTAGAAGCTTGGACGCGGGCGAAGCCGCGGGTACTGCTAGAGTATTTACATATCAATAACCACTTATGGAGTAATAAAATACTAACAAACGTTTCAACAAAATAATTAAGTTATATGATATTCGTGTAATCTTGACGCAGATATCTTGAGTATTTTATATGAACATAAATGATCTTTACTTTGCATAGTTCTCCATAAACAACTGCGTAGTTGACATCCCCATTTAATTGATATACTTTTTATGTACCTACTTTAAAAACCAAATTTCCCCATACATTTTGTATGGAAGTACCAACTTCTAATTCAGTAGAATTGGTATTTCTTGATCTCTTAAATAATTGGATATTTGAGTACAACTACCCAATTATTTAAACCATGAACTAACTTATTGTTCATTTATATTTTCTCTAATAATACATACCCAAAATTCCTGAATAAGCTCCAGAAGTTCTTCCAAACTAAAGCTTGCATGTGATGAAGTTGCATAGGTTTTATCCTTTGCAACAGACCACTAGGCGATTTATCTTCTGGGGGCAAGGCTTCCACCAAATTGGATTCAACAACAATGCCTCTGCCTTTGCTACTCATAGAGACATTGTCTCCGAACTCTCCTGAAATCTCCCCGATTTCATCCTCTACTGCTGTTGGATCCTGAATAAATTGGTTTTTTCAGTATTTATTTAGAATGAAAAACAAAACAGAAATTTATCTCACGGAAATCGTAGATGCTATTCCAGACTACTCATCCACAATTTCATCCAGATCTGTTCAGCCATTTTGGCGCGATCGAGTAACAAATATCCATCCAAACTTTCGCATTTATAACATTAATAATAATAGGATAAATTGAAACTATAGAGATGCATCATATTTCAAAATCGCTTTAAAGGTATCTTAAATGTTAAAGGTATCTTTAATGTGTAACACATATAATTTCACAATGAGTTTATTAAGCTACCTTCTCCTTTTTTGAAGTAGGCTAAAGTATGCACTGTGTAGAACAATTTGTTGAATTACATTTTGCAGTTTATTGACTATTATCGTTTTATTTGGAGCTTAAAAGCTATTTGAAAATTAAAGTACTTAAAACCAAAGCCTTTCAATAAAATGTATGCAAAATGGTTCAGTTCATTGTAAAAATAGAATTACCATTTCGGTAATGCTCTTAGAATTTGAATAATACTCTTAAAACTTATTTCCAATGTAAATCAGTTTCTCAACATGTGAATTTTAGCAGTTGTTTCAGAATTTTGATACATTGGTGATGGCTAAGAAGGAACTAACGTATTATACTATGTTTTTATACATGGCTAATATCAAAACTTTTATTACCATATAATATCATCACCATCATCAATCAATATTAATTGTTTTAAAGAAATATTTTTGCTTTAGTTATAAACATTTGACCGACTACAAAAAAAAAGTACTCATTTCCGCTTTATATAACTTATTCATTCAAAAATAAGGAATGAAGATATCGCATTCGATACACTAGAGATTGAAAAGCTCTTTTTGTTGAAGTTGGACAAGTATTAAGATACTTACTGGAATAGAGGGTATCTCAACTCGTTCTACAACATCAGCCAAAATACTGGACCGACGCCTTTTGCCCATGTTTTGAAGTACTGATAGCTTCAAGAATACGTCTTCTAGACTTTCGGCATTGTATCTGCTCATCAGTTCGGTTGGTGACTCTTCTGCTAGAAATCTTCCTCCACGCATTAGTCCGATCTGTAAAGAAGTGTTTGATTTATGTAACAGATATATAAAATTGAATTGTCTGTTTGTAATGTGAAAAAAAAATTGTGAGCGCAATTATAAGAGAAAAACAATTTTAAAAAATTTACGTCTGTCAATTAGTTCCGGTTAATCCGAAACTACTGTACTGATTTTGACGGAACTTTCACTGGCAGATAGCTGATGTTATAAGCAGTAACTTAGGCTACTTTTATTTTAGGAAGAGAATTCAGGTTCCACTCAAAAAAATTCAAATGTACCTAGTGAGGCTACTCGAGCGAAGCGAGAGTCGCTGGTCTTGTTATAAGTAACACTGTTTTCAGCTCACATCAGTTTTTGTATTATTTTTATGAATCTATTATATCTAATGTGCAATAAAGAATTTATAATAAGTAAAATGTATGGGTTAGTTGATTGCAGACACAATTTTTCTCCTTCTCTTCTTTTCTTAGCAGCCTTAAAACGTAAAAATTAACACATTTCTATTACCTATGTAACTAGGAAAGAAATGGTGAATATATAATCTTCTCAGAACTAAGGCTTCTTTTCGAGCCGACCAGGACAACTACTATTGGTAGACTTATGACGTTCGGTAAAAATTGTAATGATTTCGTTCCGAACTTGTTTTTTGAATAAGATGTGTACATCACAATGTCATTCGGTTCGCAATATAATAATTAGGTAGCAACGAGCTAATCTTTAATTACTTTATATGATTACGTACGTTGATTACATACGTTATAATGAGTGCATTTTCAAAAGATGCGTAAAAACAAGTTTTTTACCAGATATTTTATGGTGATTATTTAAACAAACGAAAATCGTTTTTTTTTTACTCTGTGTCTGTTTTAAATTATTATGGAAACAATAAATCTCTTTAGAAACGCTTAGATTTGTATATTATATTTCACAATAATTTATGTTTTATATTTAAAAATGAAACGCGAATTAGCTAAAGCAACCCAGAAAGATTTACGATGCCAGCGTTAAAATGGGGAGGATTCTTTCCCTAAAATATTTGAGTCTACAAATAATTCGTGTTTTTTCTTTGGGGGTTGCCGGAGTTTGGTCTGGACCCATACACCATTCATAGCCCAAAAAATTGGATATTAAGAGCTGTATTTTCCTATAATTATTTAACTGAGAAAAATCTGTTGAAATTTAAGTGATAAAAGCTAAAAGGGGTAACAAACTCTGTACGAAAAACTAAATTAAATAATAAAAATATAGTAAAGTTATCTTAACAGAAGATTCACTTAACTATTTAGACTTTAGAATTGCTTAATTGGACCCAGTTATGCAAAAAACAGCCATGTGCGTAAAAGTACTAACAGAGTTATAAGCATTTTTCTGTCGATAGTTGCACTTGGGTTATGTTTTGTTTTTCTGGTTATTTTAAAATTGAACAAAATTTATATAAGTATTGCTTATTTTTTTTAATTATTTAATTTTTTATAATAAAATGCTTATAACTCCAATTTACTTTAATAAAAGTCACAGGTTCGATTTCAGTATAATAAAAGAGAACAATGATTTGATTAAAAAGAACGAACAATATAATAGTAGCAATAGTTAATTCAATAAACTCAGCATCATGGCCGTCTAGCGTGTAATACATGTTTAATTAATTGGACCTCTCTAAGTCAATTCTTAGAGGACCTAAATATTTTAACTACAGTATTAGTGCATAAAGCAGTAATTGTGCATATCTAGATGACTGTACTTTAATATATTATTAGGTAAAGTGGTGAAAATAAATTGTATATGCAGTTTGGACTAGCAAGATCTGCAACGGCAGAGTATGCGGGTTCGAATCAAGGAAGAACGCCATTAAGTACATAGAACCTTTTTGTAAGAAAGGCTTAGTAACTAGATTATATATATATCAATGAATACACTTTGATTATAAGGGTTTTAAGGGATTATAAGGGTTTATAAAGAACGTATAATATGTATCTACATTTTTTTAAAGAAACATTATTTATACCTATATTATTTATTATCAAATAACATTCAATTTTAATACTAACTATAAAGCGTTTTTATTATATTATTTATGATAGGAATGTTGATAGAAAATTCTCATTTATCTTATATTTTATAGCCATTTAATATAATTATTATAAATTGCGCATTAAATGGTTTGCCTATTTATTTTTACTTACAATATTGGCTTGTTTCGTCTCATCGATGTAATGCGTTGTGATTATAACCGTTGTCCTTCCACCCTTAGTGATTTCCACCAAATGATCCCATATACTGAAAATTTGATAATAATAAATTAATATAAACATTGAATCTCAAAACGGTTGTTTTTCAAATAAATTGAAGTTTAATGAATACTTTCTATAAATACAAAAGTTATTATAAATGCGAAAGTTTGTATAGATATGTGTGTATGTTTGTTATTCCTATACACGGAAACAAATAAACACAGTCTATATACTATAGCAGTGGTAGGCCAGTGGTAACGCACTCGCTTGGGAAACCGAGTGAAGCGGGTTCAAATCCCGGGTCTCACACCTCTGATATTTTCATGTGCGAATCATTTCTAACATCATTACCACTTGTCTTACGGTGAAGGAAAACATCGTAAGGAAACCTGCATGTCTGAGTGAACCGAGTAAGTGTTAAGAAAGACATGTGAAGTCCGCCAACCCGCACTTGACCAGCGTGGTGGACTATGGCCCGATTCCCCACGTATAGAAGAGAGGCCCGTGCCCAGCAGTGGGACGTTAAAAAGGGCTCAATACACAAAATCTATGTACTCAAGTGTGATGAAATTTAGTACATGGGCTGTTAAGCACATAGTGATGTACTAGAGCGAAGCAAGAGTGAGTCGCTAGCATGTTTATATTATTTAGTCCTTGTCCACAGGGATCGTGTTAATAAGAGAGATGATCAGAATATAGTACACCACAATGGTTAAATCTAGAGTACTTCACACACCTTACGAAAACTAGTCAGGTTCTCCCAAACGTACGAATTTTCTCACAATTATTTTTCTTTACCGAAGTAATTACAAGTGGTAATAAATTAAAAGATTCATACATGAATATATTAGAAGTGTGAAGCCTGAGGTTTGAACCAGCTTCAATTTTTTCAAGTGAGCACGTTATTAGTAGCCTCACTATATATTTCAATGGGATTATTTATTTTAAATATCATAAATAATAACTTTGAAAGCAAATGTAATTAACGCTTGCAACACTTATGTATATGAAAAGAGGTTTACAATACAAAATTTAATTGAAATCAATGTTTACAAATTAGTTTTACTTTTTTTGGGACTAACTTCGTTAGGTTAAATAATAAATTTAAATATTAAATAAGGATTTTCTATAGCTATTTTAATTTTAAATAGCAAAATGGCAATGACGAAAAAACTTTGAAGGTTATTCTTATAACTTCTTAGCAATACGGAAAACATAAATATTCTTTGCATAATTATTTATTTATTTAAAAAAAACTTCAAACTAGAGTCAAGGATTTAAACTCAAACACCTTTGAACCATGAGAAGGTTTACAAAATGTATAAAAACAGATTTTCTAAATAATCTTATTTTATACTAGTATTCGGATATGACTGCTCAGACATTTTTTCTTTAAAAGTAGTCTAACTACCTAGAATATTAGTTTTCTATTATTTGAATAATATTTAGTTCCAGATAGCAAACATACTAACATTTATTTCGTATTTATTTTATATTTTTACAATTGTTTGGGTAATATAAATAATTTAACATTTTAAACATTTTCATTTTATATTTATTACGTTTTAATTTAATATTTTAACTTGACATTTTGTCCGTAGTTGCGAATTTTCGTATATTACGATCATAACATATTATTATTTTTATTTTATTACTAGCATTTCCCGCGGCTCCGCACGCGTTCAGATAACCATAAACCAAATTCTTAGGTTTTACATATTAGTATACTCTTACAATGCAGTATTTGTATTTTTTTCTCAGAAATGAAATATTTTCCTGCGGTTAAAAGTATCCTATATGTTGACCCGGATAACCAGCTCTTATCATACCAAATTTCATCAAAATCTGTCCAGTGGTTTTCTCGTGATGCGGTTACGCACAGACAGACAAAAATTCTAAAAACTATTATATTATTATTCGGACTCTGTATCGATATTAATGTCTATTTCAATAAGATTTTCCTGAATAAGTTTTCCTCATTAAATAAATATATAATGTACAGATTCGACTTAGTCACAATTTATTATATGAATAGATTATTTTATTTGGGTAGCTAATCCATACAAAACTTAGTTTTAAATCAAGTGATATGTATTACCAATACACACATATTTAACATACAAGAAGAAATCGAGAGCCATGTCACTATCCATATCCATACTAATATTATAAATGTGAAAGTGTGTTTGTTTGTTTGTCTTCCTTTCACGTCGAAACGGCTTGGCAGATTGTCGTGATTTTTTGTGTGGAGATAGTTGGAGGGCTGCAGACTGACATAGGCTACTTTTTATCGCGGGAAATTATCTCTTTCACACGGGAAAACATGTTGTAATAGAATCCAAAAAATATTTATGATCAAAATTACTTGAAACAAAGTAAATACGTGTTTTAGCATTTTCTGAAAATCATCTCTTATGGGGGTAAAATAGCGGATGAAAGTTTGTATGAAACGTACCATTTTAGAGTCTTATTTGTAGTTTTAGCGCAAGCGAAGCCGCGGGTTCTGCTAGTTTATTCATAAAGGTATTGACTAAATAATACAAAATAAATAACAATAGTTACTTAAAAACCGACAGTTGAGTGTCACAAAGCTAAAATTAAACATTCAAACACCTTGGAATGTTGTTGCTGTTCATCACAATTTTTATTTTATGCAAGTGTTTATTTAAGACTTTTTTTGCTTTATTTGAAACACAAATTGATAATTACGTAAATGCTAACGTTTAAGAAGATTTTTAAATATTATATGTATTTCCCTATATCAAATCAAAGGTTTACGTAATAATGACATATTAGACAATAATTCAAGCGGAAATAGAAATGAAATTCAATTCAATGAAAATCAATCGGATTACTATTGCAATTAATACGAAAATTTGTATGTGTGTTTGTTTGTTACTCCTTTAGGCTGAAACGGCTTGACGCATTTAAATTAAATTGTGTACACAACGAGACTGACCTGATATACCATAATAACAAAAACAAACAAAAGGCTATTTTTGAAGTGAAAACTTCTATAGGCAGGTTTGGATGGGGAGTACATTCATGTAAAACGTTATCGACATGGTCACGTGACGTGTTAACGCTAACACTCAGAGTGCCGATAGATGTCAAAACCAGATAAATGTAAGCAGTTTTAATTTGCAAATTTTAATTTAACGTCAAACAATTAATTTGAATATCCAAAACTAACAACTGTTTGTTTATAGTTTTAAGTGTTCACTTCTATCGTCCTCATGACTGCTTTTTTAATAATAAAATTTACCAAGAGATATAGGTAAAAGTATAATTAGAAAAAGCGCCTAGAGACGAACACGAGCGAAGCAAAGTTAGTCCACAATATACTTAAACATACACACTGACAAACTATCGCATTTATATTAGCATGATTCTAAAAAAACATTTATATAATAAGGAAGACGGATAAACAAATCTCTTAACCATCGTTCAAAGGTACTAAGGCTTTGTTTTTTTCAATCAAGTGTAGCATAATCCTTATCGGTTTCAATAAGCTGAGTTCTCAGGGCTGATCCGATTCGGGTTCAACAAAATTCACTAAGATTTTATCGACTTTGTTCTTTGTTTTTGTAAAATCTACTGAGATTAGAATAGTTAATGTTTATTTTAACGTTTAAATACAACTAGCTTTTTTACGCTGCTCAGACTGTAAAGTTCCTTTTTTTTAAATAACTAAAACAAAAACAAATCTATCCCACGGGAACCGTACATTTTTCCGGGATAAAAGTAGCCTATGTTATTCACATTAGATTAGATGTATAGCTATATTATTGTGAAGTTTCATTAAAATCCATTCTGTAATTTTTGCGTACCAAACATACATACATCTAAATATCCAGATATCCATCCTCACAAGCTTTCGCATTTATAATATTAGTAGAATATGTGTACAAATTATAGCCGATATGTTATGATACATATATATACCTTATAGTACAGTTATATAAAATCTGTCATTTCATCATAATCCGTTTAATATTTTTTTGCGTGAAAGAGTATTCATCCCTGCATCCTAACAAAGTTTTGCGTTTATAATATTAGTTAGGACTAAAGCTTCTGGCTACGATGAGTTTAGTTCTAAGCCACTGAACATGGGTCTCGATTAATTTGAAACCGTGAAGTATGGTGAGATCAAGGTGGTTAAACTTTATTTAGACAATGGAAATGAATGGAAAATTTTAGAAAAAATATGTACTTAAATGTAATGTACATGTAGAAAATATACTAGGTACTAGGTAGTTAAATATTATTTAAAAAATCTATAAAAAAATTATAGCCTTACTAATTAATAGAAAGTACACCATCCTTTTATAGAAAAAATATATAATAATAATAATAATATTCTTTTTAATATATCATGTGATTTATGAATAAACTAGCGAATAACCCTTGCTTCGCTCAAGTAGGTACGTGTGTATAGGTCAAATCTATCTGTGTCTAAATCCAAATCCGTCCACCCGTTTCAAAGTGAAGAAGCAGCAAACAAACATACATACACACATACAAACTTTTATATTTCTACTAATAATCTGATTTAAATATATTTTACCTTTGTCTCAACACAGGGTCCACTCCCACAGTAGGTTCATCCAGGATGAGTAACTCCGGCTCATGAATTAACGCAGCTGCCAACGACACACGACGTTGTTGACCCCCAGATAGGACTTTGACTTGTCTGCAAAGATATATTATTGTAAAGTACCATTTTTATAAATGGAGTAAAAAAGGTACATAAGAAGATTTAGAATAAGCAATGTTCCTTGCTTACATGTATTTAATTAATACATACATCTAATTTTTAACCGACTTCCAAAAACGAGGATGTTCTCAATTCATCGGAATCATTTTTTTATGTATGTTCACTGATTATTCGGAGATGCCTGAACCGATTTGGAAAATTCTTGTTTTATTTGAAAGGGTAGACTTCTCAGGTGGTCCCATATAAAGTTTATCGAAATCGGTACAGCGGTTTTTTTAATAGGTTTTTTTTTAAATTGATAAACCGGTTTTCATCTCGCACGTCACTTAGCGTACTTTAGTGATACTATCAGAAATAATAATAACACATCGAAATTTTATTGCAATTGTAAGAGGCGTATATTTATTATAATTTATTTAGACGATGAAACATACAAACGTTTAAAAAAATTAAAATATGTAAATTAAAACCAAATTTTATAGATACAAGTATGTAGTAACTGGATATTTCTTCCTTTTCAAATTTTTTAACAATGTGAAGCTTGTAATTTAACTATGTTTTTTTCTAAAATTGCTGTAATATTTAAATATTTAAATTACTATATATTTATTATTTTTAATGGACCTATTATCGTTTAATACACAATATATTTATTCGTATACGTTTTAACATTTAATATAGATTTCTTAAAGATCAGATATTTTCCCGGAGTACCTTTCATCAAAACTTGTGGTTTTCTTGCAATGTGTTCCCACACAGACAGATAAAAATTCTAAAAACTATAGATTCGGCCTCTGTGTCAATAAAATAATGCTTATTTCCATAAGATTTTCAAAAAAATATTCAACGTACAGATTCGACTCAGAATTTTATTATATGTACACAAGTTTTTATTTAAACTGCTTTATTCATAAGTCTGGTTGTGTTTCTGTTTTAAAACTTACGATTTGTTTTTAAGCTGACACCCTAAGATCCTTAAGCTCGGCATATTTTAATTTATAATATTAATTTATAATTACTTATCAGTTATAATGATATATTCTTAAATTATGCAAATGAACTTATTTTTCTCTCATCAACTGCTTGCTTACCACAAAAGATCTAGGTTTCGATTCTCACCAGGAACGTATTCATTTATTTTCCCATATATATTAGTTTTTTTTTCACGGAAGTACGTCTGTGTGTAAGTCTCACGAAAATCCCCAATATAAGATAACATAATGAACACCGCTAACATATTTAAATGTCTAATTCATTCTATACGACATTGGCGAAGTACCTAATCGTGCATATTTTGAAGTCATTAATAAGAAAGTTGAAACATAAATATGATGTTTGTCTCGTTTGGCAATCGAACCTGCAGTTCTAGCTTTAACATTAAAACATCTCAAAACGAGTCGAATCTGTACAATAATTTTTTTTGGAAAATCTTATTGAAATAGTCATTATTATCGATACAGATGCCAAATCTATAGTTTTTAGTATTTTTGTCTGTCTGTCTATCTGTCTGTGGCCGCAACACGAGAAACCCACCAGACAGATTTTGATGACATTTGGTATGATGATAGCTGGTTATCCGGGTCAACATATAAGATACTTTTTACTGCGGCAAAATATATCATCTTTAAGAAATCTATAGTAAATGTTAAAACGTAACTAGGGACGAACCCGAGCAGAGTGAGGGTGAGCTCCTCGTTTTAAATATAAAAAGCCGTATCTATAAACTTCGTTGACTTAGAAGGTTAGTTCTTATTTGTTGTTACGAGTATATGTTATTTATACCTGTATATTAATTTAGTTAATAAGTGTTCATTCTTACGGTTATTACAAGCTAGAAGTACGTTTCGCACTATTCTATTCTATGATATTATTATTAGGGTCATTTAATTTCAGTGCCTATAATAAATCACTTTTAGTATTAAGGGCGCTTTTACGCCATTTATATTTACTTTTATTTTTACACCCTTTCCCTTAAGTCGTAAAATCTTACGGTGAATTCACACGGCATGGTCCTGCACGTTTTTTTTTCGTATTCGATTTCAAACGTACAATCAGGCGGTTATTCATACGGTAAAATTTCATTCGTATAAAAACGAATATTCGCAGTTTTCACACGTTGTCATAGTGAGTAGACGTCAGTGATGGATCCACGCTTGGTTGTTCTTTCATATTGGTATCGAAGGCGCCAACGGTTGCTATTCGATTTAAAAACTTATGGCATCGTGCCGTGTGAAAGAGACAGAGCTAAACTGCTAGCCGAATGCGTTTAAGTTTATTCGATTTGCTTGACAAGTCCGGTGCGTATTCGGTTGAACGTATAAACGGTGTACGATTTTTTGTAGTACTAAAGTCGTGTGAACGGTTCTATATACAATGTATGTGCCACTATGTATTCGTTAAGACGTATAGGTAATGCAAAAAAAACGCGCAGGATAATGCCGTGTAAACCCAGCGTTAATAGCATGTCACTTCATACTGCTCTCTTCTATACATATAGTAAATAATAAAAACTATACAATATAAGTCGAACTTGCGCTGGAAGAGTTAATCGCATTATTAAACGTAAGATCAACATATTTTGTTTTAAAAATACGTATCTCAAATGTACAAAACAATCAGTGCAAGAGTCATTCACGCTTAACTAATTTTTGAAAGTAATATCTTATGTCTATATAAATATAATATAATAAATAAAAAATACATACCGAGTAGGGTTGGGTAGCTGTAGCAGGGATACTAAAAAGTCGACTTTCTCGTCCACTTCCTTAGTAGTCATACCGGCGATCCAACCGAAGTATATCATTGTTTCTCGTATAGAAAACTCTCCAAATAGTGCTACTTCCTGAAAAAAGATAAATTCTTTGTAAAAATCTTCTGTCTTTGATTAAGTAACAATTTACCAAAAAAAATTGCCTTTTCTTGTTTTTTTAAACATTTGCGTAAACCTAAGAAGGTGTTAAGATACATATCTTAGCCTTATCAAAGTATATAGCCGTATTTAGTAAACAAACGTAGGTACTTGTGTTATGATTATGCCGCTAAGAAATTAGGCTTTTCGAATATCTATACAATGAAATAATAATAATCTATGTAATATTGATAATTGCGTGGTTATTTGTATCCCACTTCAGAACGGCAGAATAATAGAAGAACTGTATTGCGTTAGGAATAATTGTATAACCCTGTGGAATATTTTAATTCGTGACCTTTGTGGGAACAGTCAAGCCACACCGACACTATAGCAAAGGTCGCCTAAATATTTCTTGGTACAGTCGACTCTCGTTAATTCGAAACTCGAGGGACTCTTAAAATATTACGAATTATCGAGTGTTCGAAATATCAAATGGTTCGACATTTTTGAGAGAAAATAAATAAAACTCCGAATTATTAAGTGTTGATTAATTATTATTTATTAACTGCTATCCTTTAACAATGACAAAAGTTTAGAGGTACATTCGTGTACATATCCATAATATAAATTAATTAATCTTTCGAAAGAACTCTGTTATACATATATAGAATTCCAACAATTATTATAATTTTCAACAATTATACATAATAATTATATCTTCTAAATAAAACTATCTTTTCGGATTATCACGCGGATTTATTTTGATTTTTGGTTCCCGACGCTTCGAATGCTTTACAGCAATCATGGTCACGGGAGAGATTAAGGTTATAGACGTCTCAAATATAATAAAATAATCCGAAAAGATAGTTTTATTTAAAATGTCAAATATTCGCGTAAATCTAAGAAAGAATTATCTTCTATTTATTTACTTGACCGTAACGCTAACACGATATGATATCGTAAACATTATAACGTTAAGAAAACCAGATTTTGTCTTCAAACACCTATTGTTCGGAAGCAGCTAAACTGATTTCGATTTGTTTTCAACTTTTTCCTTAAAAAGGAGAAGGCTCTCAATTCGGTTGTATGTTTTTTTTGTATGTTTGTTACCTCAGAACTCCGTCATTTAATAACCGATTTGGACAAGTTTTGTTTTGTTTGAAAGTGTATTCTTTCAGATTGGACCTATTTAAAAATAAAAAAATCCACCCGTAAGGGTGGAACAATACCTAATAACGAATTTAACCTACTTCTAATTGTCATTTTGACTTGAAACTTTGCAAGTGTTTCTATTTCCGTTAATAATGCAGTGGGTCGGTATCGTTGACCTGATCTGATGGCAAGGCCAGAAGGTGGATAGGTGGAACTCTTCAACGCCTAATACTATACTTTGAGTTTGGGGTTATTTTGTTTGATCTGACTAGCCTAACACTTTAGAATCGGATTTTAGAGCTAACATTTTTAGTGTTACTTATAAAAGCGAATTTTAGTTTGTAAGTCTTCGTATAAAAATTGGCATCACAGTAACTTCAACGGTTTAAACGCATATTTTATTAAAATACTTTCTTTTTACTTTGCTATTACCATGTCTACACTAAAAAGGGAAAAATTAAAATTAAATGTGTTGGGACATAAACACACAGCACCATCTAGTTCCATGGTAAGCTGCGAGGCCTGTGTTATGGATACACTACATATATAAAACTTTAAATACATACATATTATAAATATAAACACCCATGACTGGAGTACAAGCATTCGTAATCACACAAATGAATGCCCTCAGCGGGACTCGAAGCCGCGACCGCTGGCACAGCAAGTAAGGTCACTACAAACTGAGCCAAACGTGTCGTCAAAAACTTTTTAACAAAAAAAATAAAAACTGACTTCAAACAAAAGCACTAAAAAGTAAAAAATAACTGATTGGTAGTTTTCATTTACTATATACATACCTAATCAAAGCACACCTAATGCTAAGGCGAAGCCATATATAGGAACTAGTATAGGTATCAATATATTTTAAAGAATTTTAATGTTCATTAATAAAAACTGTTAAACTATTTAAGCAAAGCAGACTAAAATGAAACGATTTATTAATATTTTTATCTAGATTTAGATAAAAAATATGGTTTTCAAACAATTTCTATAAAGTCTCATCTGTGAAATGTAGCGAATAGGCATTTTGAATGACGGTTCTATCAAGGCAAAGTGACAGCCAAGTTAATTGAAGAATCTATACTTTTAAAAAAAGTTATGTCTGACTGTAATTCCTAAGTAAGTACTCCCATAACCTTGCAGCTGATATGGTTATTTACATGAAACCACCCGAAGATCTATTTACTGGTTGTAAATGGTTTTGCACTAATGATGGAGAATATGGGTTAAAGAAATATATTTATCTATTTATACGAGTATAAGTATGCTTCTTCTCTGCTTTATACATTTTTATCCATTATTCCAGTCCGTAAAAGAAAATTCGTGTCTAAAGATTTTTTTTTTATTACTAAGGTACCTACGTTTAATTATTTCTTTTCTATAGAGATATAGAAAGCTATGGTTTAATAAAATATACATCTTATTTTCATTTCGAAGTCTTAAAGCTATATATATATATATCAATTTTTACACAATTTTTTATGTTAGATATTATTCTCTTTACGTATTGAAGCAATGTTTGCTAGGTGATAGTATTCACAACCTATGCATGTGCATTGTCTTAACTTGACTAGAACTACGCTCATCATCTTATCGATCACGTAATTCATAAAGTACTTTAGTATACCTACTATGAAAAACAATATGAGATAGAATAAGAAAACGATAAAGCATAAAAATTTAGAACAGATATTTATTTTATAGATATGAAACGAGTTATTAATTATTCTATTAGTGTTTCGGATGATATCAACTAAAATAACAATTTTGATTCATTTTGATTTTGAAATGTCAGTACATTTGTTTACATATACAACACAGAAAAAAATAATTAGAGAACGTCTCTAAGTTGTTTTTAAAGAATAAAACTGGTATTTTCCTATATTTTTTCAATAATAAAGTCCTAATTAAGAACTTATCAATATATGTATATTTGGCCTTTAGAGAAAAACCTATGACTATATAAAACCTGTCGTTTGAACTTTGTATTTTCGGAATAAAATAAAATAGTGAGCTCTTTTTGAAAGCTACAATCTACAGATTTTTTAGCTAGCATTTTTTGTATAAAATGACAGTTAAAAGCAATATTCGCAAAAGCCGTTTACGTAGCCTTTGACTATGGAATTTTTTACTTAATATTCTTAATTCAGTGCTTCTTTGATTTTGAACTATATTTTATAAAACATAGTACCATTTAAATCATAACCTTCAAAGAGCTTTTATAAGTGAATTACACCCCTGATTTTTTGAATATTTTTATTATATATATATACCATTTTAATTGTTTTATGAAAGAGAATATACAAAGAAAAACTACGACTGTGTGTGGGGTGACCCTCAGAATTCCTAAAGGTCGGACAATTATTTTTTTTCTATAATTATACCATACTTATAACAAAAAAATATAACGAACATTTAAATACACAACATCATACATAAATATAAGTGGGCAATTATGTTTCTCTATCAACGCAGTAGATGTCTGACGTTCAATGGACGATTTTTTTAATGTCATTTCTCGCATCTCTGATACTTTCATATGCGAAACATGTTCTCATGATTACCACTTGTCATACGGTGAAGGAAAACATCGTGAGGAAACCTGCACATCTAACAAAACCTAACAAGTCTTCGAAACACATGTATAGTCCGCTAACCCGCACTTAGACAGTGTGATGGACTATGGCTTGGCATGGTAAAAGGCTGAATATATTATAAGAAAAATTACCCAAAAAAAAATCTAATTATAATCGCTTGGAAGTGCGTAGCAGGCACAAAACTCGTCAACGACGTCACGAGGAAGCCACGAATAAGGCAGCGTTTCCACATGACGTTGGCGAAATAATAAAGTTAAAGTTATTCAACTAGATTGGATTGATAAAATGTAGTAATACTACAATATTAATAAGAACATGACAACGATTTATTAGTCGTTATATAGTATATATATATATATATATAAATATATATATATATATATATATATATATATATATATATATATATATATATATATACAATCAGTAAATAATTGAGTTCTTTGAGTTTGTTTGAGTTATATATGTAGATGTTCAAATATGTGTGTATATATACATACATATATGTACCTACATATCTTACGTCTATGCGGGTCGCAACCTAGCAATAAAAACTCTTAAAGGAAATTAATTGAAAAAGCGACGTCAATTTTATATTTACGTCGTTATAAACAAATTGTAATTGATACCTGTAATCTATACTAATATTATAAAGAGGTAAAGTTTGTGCGTTTGTGATGTTGTAGGGGGTAATCTCTGGATCTACTGAACCGATTTAGATGTTTGGTAAGAAGATAGTTTGAGACCCTGGGAAGGACATAGGATAAGTACTTTTTGAAAATGGGAATGAAAGTTTGTATTGGGAAGCAAGCTTGGGACGAACCCGAAGTAGTAGCCTAAGTTATTCCTTATAACATTAGCTATCAGCCAGTGAAAATCCCGTCAAAGTCAGTACAGCCGTTTCGGAGATTAGCCGGAACAACCAAACATATATACAAAAAAAAATTAAAATTGTGTTTTTCTTATAAATACCGTATATAAATTTATATGCTTTTAGTAGACAGACAGGCAACAATTTTAAAAATTGAGTTTTTCTTAAAAGTACCCTACCTACCTATATAATTTCATATGCATTTAGAAAAAACATGTTATTTTTAAATTACAAACAGACACTTCAATTTTATTTATCTGTATAGATGAAAATTTAGAATTTTTATATTAAGAAATAAAGAGTATAATTTCTACCAAACTAAACTCCAACAATATTTGTCGATTTAATTTTATTCATTATTTGTACTA